AGAAGAGCCAGACAATAGTAGTGAAGAGCCAGACAATAGTAGCGAAATGTTAAATATTTTAAAAAGATCATGTTGTCTAAATATTTGTTAAACCAGCTGATAGAGATCAATGTCAACTATTCCTATCACTATTCCGAATAAAGAACTCAGCTCTACAAAATTTGTGTTTACAAGTAAAAATATTGGTGTTACTGTCAGTGAGTCTGTTCCAAATGGAATATTTTACAAAAATATCAATTTAATTAAAAGAAACTCACCAATTATCAAGAAGTTGAAACACATGTTGTATTTCAATAATTAAACTGACAACATTCAATATCTGAAATAGAAAATGAATATAAATTTTACTAAATTAAAAAAAACATAAAGGGATATTTCGCTACCAAACAATTATAGAACTGCATCCCTTTCAGTATGTATATAGATATAATATGAAATGGGGTTTTAAGTCATCCTTTTTTGTACCTGATTGGGTTAACGAAGATAGTATGCAGCATACAATGTGGAAAATTTTTGACGATTGAAGCATTAGCTTCCTCATTGTTAATTTCCTCGATAAGCAAGCACAACCTGTGGCACAAGGGACATCCCTTAAGGTGGCACGAATAAAGAAAGGGTCAATTATCAATCTTGGAGGGCAAGGTAGTTTGTTGGCTGATAAAGAAGACTCACCATTTAACAGCCCACTGGAACATAATTTGATATCTATAGACCAACAAGTTTCTAACTGATGAGAAGATTTCATACCTGTAATAAATCATTTATTCAAATTAAATATAGCAAAAACAGGGATGTTTCCTATTATTTTATGCAAGTGACTCCACTTAGCATACATGATCTGACAAATTCATTATTCATGTCCTGTTCTGGGCCATTTAGTATTGAACCCACTAATACACAGTAAGTAATATCAAATATTGTGTACCATATAAGATTTTCTTGCTGTATGTCAGGAATTGCAGGGTATCTATTGTTTTAAATGGACTAGTAGATGTAGTGTCTTACCATTTTTAAAATTACTTTGGATTGGTTAGCATAAATTATGACAACTCTGGATGGTCATTCATTCTAAACACAATCTCCATAATTATAGATGAAGATTGTTAAATCGGGGTTAGTGGATTCACCTGCGAAAAAAAAAAGAAACTTAACATTAACATCTGCATTTGAATCATGTTAAAAGTTTGTTTTCACTTGCACCAGACTCTGAAATATAACAATTAAGGGACTACATCCCTTCCGTAACAGAAAGTCCCCTCACAAAAATTCACAAGATTCCCCCTTGCTTAAACCTAGGCCTAACAGTTGGAATACCTGAGAAATAATTCAAGTAGTTTTCAGAAAAACCAGAAAGTTAATTATAAAAAAAACTCACCATATATAAAAAGAAAGATCTATTTGTCACAAGCGATTTAAAACTTTGCATACTAATAACTTCTCTGAACTGCTGTCACTGTAAAAAGAATAATAATTTTTAGAATACAAACAACATTGTGTTGTGAATTGTTTCAAAAAGTAAAATTTTACTAAGGATTAAAGGGCTGTCATACTTTCCTCATAAATCACAAGACAAAAATCTGAATTCTCACAATAGGAAGCTTGCATAGGTATGACCTAATAACCATCCCCACCTAATTTGGAACCTGTCTATCCTCACCCCTACCTTAATATCTTGTTCTAAACTAACAATTATAGGACACCATCCCTTTAACACCCCCACCCCCTAATCCTAAACCTGTCTACCCTCATCTCTACCTTAATTTCTTATTATAAACTAACAATTATAGAACAGCATCCCTAAATACACCCACCCCCTAATTGTAAACCTGTCTATCCTCATCCCTACCTTAATATCATATTCTAAAACAACAAATATAGGCTACCCTCTCTTTAACACCCCACCCCCTAATCCTAAACCTGTCTATCCTCATCCCTACCTTAATACCATATTCTAAACAACAAATATAGGCCACCCTCTCTGTAATACCTCCACCCCCCAATCCTAAACCAGACTCATTTCTGAGGGGTACAAATTACTTTTTTTTCTTTGCATAAGTCTTTTGCTCTATGGGCCTAAATTGCACAGCAGTTTAAAATTTTGTATAGCACTTTTTAACGTATGATGTACGGTATGTAAAGGTTCTGAAGAGTATCAATAAACTAAATGATTCTTGAATTGTAATTTAAATTTCAGTACAAACAAAAGTTGGCCATAATGATACTCCTAATATCTTCCCTGTTATTTTTTAAGTCATGAAATAACTTATATTTGTCATTTTTATTCTCGTGACATTGAGTCTAAATTTTCAAGGTCACGCGCGTAAAAATTTAGATTGATAAAAGTCCAAACTAACCGATAATATTTAAACCTGGAGTATTCACAAAGACTGTAGATATTATTAGCAGATTCGGCAATAGTGACGTTAAAAAAGGTCTAGTTTTAGTGGAATCGGAAAAAAAAACAGAGGTCTAACTTAAAATTGGAATGGTACAAATCGATGCTATCGGTGTCCCTATTTCTAGAAAACCAGTTGCCAATCAAAATTTGAATGAAGAAAATGGCTTACCTTCTAGTGAATAAGTGTCCAATATTTGTCACTCCTTCCAAAAGTGTCATCGTTGAATCCATTATTTTACAGAAAAATCACAAAATAATCTTAATCCATCCAGAATGATACAGATAGTATCAAATAAATCCCAATCCACAGGTATTAGTCAAAGATTTAGCACTGAATATATCGAAATAATTTAAAACCATCCAGAATCCAATACAGAACATATCATAAGTCATAAGTCAGAACTGATAAGACCGAAATCCCGCTCAGAAATGCGCACCCTTGGATATGCAAACGATGATTTTACGTTAAACTCCTCCCACTTTTTGACTGACAATTTGAATTTCAGCCAATCAGCAGCTAAAATTCTATATCCACGTGCTCTACGTGTCAACTCTTCCCGCCAAAAAATTGTTTTGAGTTTCTGATGGTTTTAAACTGTCACCTTCTCGTCAATTTGGTGAAAGTTGATAAATTATTAAAGGAAAAGATCCACCAATATTTCAGAGTGGCTGGTTGAAAGAATTTTGAATAGAGGTACTGGACTTAAAAATCCTTTGTAAAGTCTAAAACCTGTTCAAAAATCTGTTGATCAACGAAAAAAGTATATTTCATTAAGTTACCGAGGGAAAAAATTGCCAAATTCACATGATTGTGAAGTAAATTACACGGAAGGGGACCTTTAATTCTTGACAGAACAAATAACATGATTGCTAGATTCGCGCCAAATATTACCCTGAAATTTAAAGGGATATAGCGTTACTGTTACAATAAAATTCACCTTTTTTCTAGTTTTAGGCCTAAATCAGGCTAACCTCAAAGAAGATAATTAGAAAATTTACTGAAAAGCTTTGACTCTGTGACTACATAAATGTGGCAATAAATTCTGGGACGAAAAAGTGCAAAAGATACAAATAGGATTGCAAAAGAACAGATTAAACCACAGTAAATTTATGTTTGCACGGAATTTTGCTACGATCGAGACGAGTGGTACAAATAAGGGACTCAAATATTTTAAACCACATTTATAATATTTTTGTTTATAAGTGTAAAGTTATGTTAGTGAACGAAATGTTGGATAATGGTACATCGAGATCAAAGGGTGACGACAAATTTTAAGTTATAATAACACTGCAAAATCAATTAATGTGATTTAATTATTAGTGGTCACTGACAAATAACCCATCATGCCCATGGAATTGAGACCAATATTTGAAGTTCCAGGAGGTTCTATCAGTTCCCATTATCAGGATTCCTTCCCCATTCCCCCTCCCCTACTCCACGGCTTTGGTAATTGTGTAGCTTGTCAACAAGAGGCTTCTTACTAAAGGCTCAGTGTTAGGCCGTTAGGTTTTCATACAGCCATAGTCAGTTGGCTTAACTAAATGATAAGGGAAGTCTCTGTGGTAGTTTAGACACTCGTTGCAACGTTAGAGAAATTGGAACAATGATTGAGTATAACTGTACTATCTTTTCAAAGCAAAAGACCAACATTTTAGGTCCAGACTTCAATTGAGGGCTCTCCCCTTTTCCAAATTCTGGGTTACCCCCGTTTTCAGAATGTATAGATTTCCCCCTGTTGGTGGTGATAATAAACTACTTAATAATCAAATCATATCATTTGATTGTCAAAATTGGTAAAATGACCCTACTCGAAATACAAAATTGTTTCGAATTATTCATTCGTCGTCATACCCAAATTGTGCACGGCCTTTGACAGAATTGAGTCTCGTTTTATGTCTTTCTGACCCAATTCGGACAGTTCGGAATTTTACACCCACCAGATCTGATGGGATGTTAATTAACTATCTCACACTTGTCATTATTCGAAATATCAAATCACCAAGTTGCTGTCTCCCTTACTTTTTGTACGGAGGCCCATTGAAGACATGCACTAATTTGCTAAGCCTCGCAAATTGCCCGTAAACTCTGAGTAACATACTCATATAGGCCATATATATGTCTATTAGTGAGTCTTCAATGGGCCTCCGTACAAAAAGTAAGGGAGACAGCAACTTAGTGATTTGATATTTCGAATGAGGACTATTGTGAGATAGTATAGTATGAATTTCAAAAAGTTCTTTTAATTTGCTGTTTAAATTTGGTAGGTTTCAGCTTCCATAAAAAAAATATGGGTCACAGTACAAAGACTAAGAGAGTTAGACATATACGTGTTTGCGAAATTGAAAGAATTCTTATGTGTATTTGTCATAAAAAATTTTAAGTTATTTTAACAATATTTAAGTTAGAAATAATTCAGATTTCATATCGGGTCGATTTGCCGCGAATGTGTATGCTGAGACGATTTGACCCGAATCTGTATGCTAGTTGAATGTGTGAGCTAAGTTCAGCCCGGTACATATTATTCTATCAGACAAATCATACTAAATCTGTTTTCTAAAACTAAAGAGTTTTCATCAAGAGTTGTCTTTTCTTGAAGAGAATGCTTCTCTAAAAACTTTAGTTTGTAAGTTACAATTTACGATTTCTGTGGAAGATTATATGTGTACAGATACCTTGCAGGACATTCTTGCATGACACTCTTGCAGGAAATTTCACTAATTACACCAAAAAAGCGTTTGTCCTAGGTTATCACTATCATCAAGTTATTATTGATATTATAGGCTTATAATAGGCTATCTATTATTTACAAATGAAATGAATTGAAAGCATAATCCTAGCAAGTATTATAATTTGAATAAGCATTCTCTTATACCAGCAGATTTTAAAGTGTGATAAAACAGCTGTTGGAATAGAGCTGACACATCCTTGCCAGAACGTTTCAGATTTAGATTTCATATGCTGAAAAAAATTATATTTCTTTTTCCAGATTAGTTAAAAATGCCTCGTTCTGAGTTTTCACATCATTTCTCAAGGGTTCATGATATTCCACCAAAATGTTGGAAAATTGCAGGTAATTTCTTTTCATAGCTTTAATGCAATTACCCAGTAAGCTATTTTATATTTTCAGATTGTAAAGTGTAACATTGTAGCAATTTTTTTTAGAAATCTTATGATTTTTATATGTAAGACATTTGTAGTCACATAAAATGGTCTCTTTGGGGCTTTGCAAAAAGATAAAGATAAGAGTGTTAACATCATTATGTTAATGGTTGATCTATTTATCTAGGATTGGTAGCTGTAAGTGTTATTAGCGCAAAAGTAATAGTAAAATTGGTAAAAAGACGAAACCGAAGACTGAAAATTAAAGGAAAGCAAGATGAGTTGAGAGAAGCAAAAGCCAGACTAAAACAGCAGCTACAGAATGATCAAGTAAATTTTTATCAACTGTCCACAAGAAAAGAATGAAACAAACCATTTTTATTTGGATCACAACTTAAGTTCCTCAGGAGCCTTTCTACCAGCTGGTATCTGACCAGACCTCTTCACATTGATCTTTTCTGAATTATCTCTACCCTTTTATAGGTAGACTGAAAAATGAGGAATATGACGTAATTCATGGTCCCCAAACTATTACATGCTGACCAATATTCAAGCCCATGACCATGTTTTATTTGATGTAACCCAGAGTTTCTCAAGTTGATTTGCAAAATATGTTTTTGTTTTAGATAACTAAAGAGAAAAGTGAAAAAATAACTCGACTCTCTATAACTGAACTACAAGCTAAGTTACAGAAGGATGAATTGAAGGCAGTAGATGTATTAAAAGCTTATCAATTTAAGGTTTGTTCCAACAATATTTTTGCATCTCCAAACTCCAAATCTCAATGCTGACATCTCAATTGAGTTTTTTGATCTGTGCATGTAACAGTAAAAAGTAACTGTATGCAGAATTACAATGTTTATCTTATAGGCATTAGAAGTTAATGAAAGTACAAATTGTATTGTTGAACCTATAGTGGAGGCTGAGGTAAGGTTCATTTCTTTTTAAATTTTGAATCTGTACTATGAAATTCAAGATGGTTGTGAATGCAACTGGTCCAATGATATTTTTAGAAACTTTTTGAGCTCCATAATCATAGTCAATTTATTTTCAAGCTCTTAGCAGATATGACTGACTTTTTGACATCACAAGTTTTGACTTGTGTCTATTGAGTAGGTTTATAACTCCAAATTTAAATCTTTTGGTGGTGTATTTTTTGACAGTGTAATTTTATTGAAAAAATGTAAGTTGAAAATTTACTAAGAATGAAGCAAATAGTTATGGATTGTTTTTTTAATCTATAAAGTTTGTTACCTTGTAGGCTTGGGCAAGAGATTTGGATAAAATGAAAGGACCTAAAGGTCTTCTTCATGGCATACCATTTAGTATTAAAGAATCTTATAACTTGAAGGTAACTATTTTACTTGACAATCAACTATATGAAATTGCAATCTGACCAAAAAACAGATTTAGATGTTCCCTTGGAGGATCTTTAATATGCACAAACTGTATCCAATCTGTACTGCTAGACTCCTTTTCATACTTTTACCTCCAAGCTCCATCTCCAACCAGAAGCACAATTTTGTGACAAGAACTATCACAAGTTATGGCTGATTAAGTAGATCAACAGGATGAAAAATTCCACAAATATTTTAGGGTTATGATGTAACTGCTGGTTTAAGCTATTTTATACACAGACCAGTTGATAATGATGCTGTTTTAGTTAAGGTAAGTTAGCCAAATCAACTCTCTCTGTAACAGAATGAAGTAAGTTCCGTATGTTTCTTATTAGCCAATGACTTGATTCAGTTAGCAGACGACAACCCACCTTGTGGGAAGATTGTACAGAGGGTTTCTAAATTTGTTATATGTATTGGGGACAGTTAATTTTTCAATCAGGCGTACGTCTATGGTTCCTTCAATTCAACTAAAACGAAGTATTTGTTGATGTCATTCATCATTCATGCCTTATGTGATAAAGCAAACACTTTTTTTTGTGGAATTTCAGGAACCAATAAACATTATATAAAACAAATTTATAAAACCTCTTTACAATCCCTTTAAGAAAGGAGACAAATCTTCCTCCAAACTTAAGAGTTTTTACTGTGGCCTGTGTGCTTGAATTTCAATTTTCTTTATAGGCTATTAAAGATGCTGGTGGTATACCATTTGTTAGAACCAATATACCACAAACAATGTACACGTATGTATTCTAATATCATTGTATTCTTATATTATCAAGTTGTATTGTTATATTGTATCACATCATTAAAATCATGTATTGCTGTTGGTCATTCTTTTCATGATGAACATATAAACTGCAAAATATTTGCCCTTTTTCCAAAATTTATCATTTATTAATGATATCATAGGACAAAACAAAGTTAACATCCCATTTTTCTTTACAGATATGAATGTTCCAACCCAATCTATGGTGTAACAACTAACCCACATGATGCCTCAAGGTGCCCAGGTGGTTCAAGTGGTGGAGAGGGTGCTATTATTGGTGGTGGTGGTTCTATTGTAGGAATAGGATCAGATATTGGTGGAAGTATTCGTATACCATCTCACATGTGTGGAATTGCTGGATTGAAACCTACAGTTCAACGTTTGAGGTGAGTCAGAATATTTTTCCATTTCCATTTATATTAGAAAGGTTACATAAAACTATGGCTTCTACCATTCCAATTTTCTGTGTAACATCTGTGATTGCTGTAATTCCAGAAAATATACCAACCTGATATTAAACAGACTTTCTTTCTTTACCTTCTGCTAAGTCATATTCGGTTGAAATTGGTATTCTTGTTATAGAAAGTACAATCTTCACATGTATTTCCCATGAGTTCCCAAATATCAAAAATAGCCAAGAGTCATTTTTGATATATTAAATTCAAAATTAGTGGCAAGATCATTATTAAGGTAGTTACATTACAATTAACGATTAATTTTTTACATACTGATGAGAATTTTTGAAATTTTAGTGGTAGCAATACTTTCCATGATACTGATGGTCAAAGAAATGGTAATTATTTTTAATATACTCCCACATCCCACAGCCCACATACAATGGGTGTATATTGTCATCACACTTCATATATTTATAGTCCGTCTGTCTAGTTTAACTCAAAGAGTTTTTTTTTTTCATTTTTAACTCAGCTGTATTCTTATTTTTCATCAATCTTTAGTTCATTTGATAAGGCAATTCTTTTAAAGAGTCCACATAGCTAATAATGTTTCTTGAGTATACATTTTTCATTATCTGACTTAAAAAAATAAAAGAAAGAAAAATCCTTATTTGAAAAATTTCAATATGGTTCTCAAGGATACTGTCTGCCAGCTTGTGTTTGGCAAGACCTCATGGAATTGATTTTTTCAAATTACCTCAGTCATTTACCTTATACTTTTTCAATGTCATCAGGCCTTTGTCGGCAACTAAGATTAGAGCCCACTTACTGACATAACTATATGCTCTAACTGATTTACAGTCTGTCCCATCAACATGACAAGTTACGCACCATTCTTGTAACAAAACAAAAGACTTATCCCTCATGATGTCTTCATATCAAAATTGTCTACCAACTGCTGTTCTATGGGCGTATTCCACAATTGACACAATCTCTTCATATATCTTCTTTTGTAACTTTTTAATATTGTGTGATCACCCACAGTTGTTAACTTTATATTAATATGCATTGGGCAATCATCATGCATTGGCAATTATCAAACAAATGGTGTGTGAGCTAACGTATTTATTACAATAGAGCTTCATTCCTTATTAAATTCTATGGATTTTAAAAAAATTTGAAAGAGATTCCAGCAAATAGCCCTCTATATTAATTAACCTCAATTAATACTCTGAAGACTTACAGCATTACTGACACCCTAAGTCAGTTTAAGTAAAGTATGTTTCCTATTTAGTGCTAGTTTTCAATAGTTAACTAACGAAGTTCTTATTTTCTGTTTAACAGTACTGCCATCTGTAGGACCAATGGCTAGGAGTGTAGATGGAGTTGTATTAGCTATGAAAGCATTCCTCAGTGAATCAATGTTTACTTCAGATAATTACATACCTCCACTACCATTTAATAATCAGGTATAGTATTATACTACTTTTCTTACCGAGTATTCTCGAAACGATCTTAGCGCTAGGATGTCATAGGGTCTTAACTTTTTCTAGGGTATCCAAGTGCTAAGATCTTTTCTGGAATACGTGGCCAGGTTACCTGGTGAGCTTTCAATTACAAAATTCAGTCTTTCAATTACACAGAATTCAGTCTCTCAAGTACAAAATTCAGTCTTTCAAGTACGAAATTCAGTCTTTCAAGTACAAAAATCAGTCTTTCAAGTACAAACTTCAGTCTTTCAAGTACAAAATTCAGTCTTTCAAGTACAAAATTCAGTCTTTCAATTACACAGAATTCAGTCTCTCAAGTACAAAATTCAGTCTTTCAAGTACGAAATTCAGTCTTTCAAGTACAAAAATCAGTCTTTCAAGTACAAACTTCAGTCTTTCAAGTACAAAATTCAGTCTTTCAAGTACAAAATTCAGTCTTTCAATTACACAGAATTCAGTCTCTCAAGTACAAAATTCAGTCTTTCAAGTACGAAATTCAGTCTTTCAAGTACAAAAATCAGTTTTTCAAGTACAAACTTCAGTCTTTCAAGTACAAACTTCAGTCTTTCAAGTACAAAATTCAGTCTTTCAATTACACAAAATTCAGTCTTTCAAGTACAAAATTCAGTCTTTCAAGTACAAAGTTCAGTTTAAAAGTACCTTTGGGTATGTTAGGAAACCTTTGCACTTTAAAAGAGATTGATGTTTGTTACATCAAAGAGGGATTGTCTTTGACATTTTTTAATCTCAATTAATATCTATGGATGGTTTAGGTAGGTTATTGTTCTCTATTTAAGGTTTATGAAAGTAAGAAACCATTACGTATTGGATACTACACCTATGATAATGTTATACATCCAGTACCAGCTTGTGTTAGAGCTGTTAAAGAAGCTAAGACTGCACTGGAAAAACTTGGTCATACAGTAAGTACAAAAGACTATGTCAGTTTTTAAGTGGAAATTCAGTGGTTGTATTTGTTAATATAATTTCTAGAAAACAGTTATTTTCAACCAATCAAATTTACTGTTTCATTGTTATCGATACTCATGCATTATTCATGAAGTTTGCCTTGCACTGTCCAAGAGTAATGCATGGATTTATTTTGTTTTATTTTTTAGCTTGTACCATTTACACCACCAGATGTAGATAAAGCATTACCCTTCCTATTTGTTACCAGTGTTTTTGGTGATAATTGTTATGAAATGGGCAAATATCTGTAAGTTCTAATATTTAATAGAACTTGGTGATATGGTCCATTATCTACGCTAACTAACCAAAAGCAGAATAACTTTTCCTCTTATAGTCTTAGCTTGAAAGATTCTGATTGATATGGTTTTGTTCACATACAGCCAGTTCAAAAGGGTCCAAACTTAAAATCCAGAGGCCTTTTTCTCAAACAACTTAAGGGACAGGTGCGCCATTTTTTCAACCAATAATACTTTAGTCTCAGAAACAGGAATGATTTAGCTAAGTCAATCAGTAATAGTGTTCTCAGTTTATCATCTAAATTTGAACATTCAAATCCATGTGGTGTCCAGAATTATCCAGAAGTTGAAAAGACCAGTCGTCTTCTTGAGACAGTCCCAAATATATAAAAGACATCTCAGAAATTCCTAGTTTGAGAAGTAATTTTGTGATATTCGTATATTTTTAGTACTTCTGAAGACTATTTACTTATATTCAAGACTCGAATCAACCCCCCAAAAATGGTGCATCTACCCCTTTAACTTGAGATGATTCCATTCACTTGATATTTCAATCACTAAAGTTGATGTCCTTTAAAACCAATTTTAGCTTTCCACAGATGTTTTTATGGGATAGATTAAGATCTTCTTCATTGCTGAATTATTATTCTATTATTTAGGAAAAATGATGAAATAGATAAGACCTTCTTCCTTAACTACCATCTCTATCAAACAATTCCACGAGGTCTGAAAAAACTCTTAGCTTATATAGTTAGAATTAAGGTTTGATCATATACTTTTATTTTACTCTTTTCATTTTGCATCTTCAAGATTTTTCAGTAAATTTCTCAAATCAGGTTCAGTCGAATTCTGACCTCAAAGCACTAAAAGTTATGATAATTTATACATTGCAACCTGAAATTGAACTAAAAGTGGTCTGACACTAGTTAATGCTTAAAAATGAATATCCAAAATTCGCATATAATCCGTAAATATTTATATGAACAGAGCATTTCATTTGTTGAATATCTTGATGACTCTCAACATCACAGCATCACAATTTTGTAAGATCATGGATAAAGTGAGTAATAACCTACAGAAATCACAGATCGCGTTATAATTTGATTATTCTCTAGTTCTTGTGAAATTTTGTATTTCTAGGATAGAGTTGCTGGTGACATCTTACTAAACAATGGTGTCTTGTAAGTAAAAGTATTTTTTGTAAAGATACAGCCTGAGAAGCAGTAAACCTCAAATTATTTTGAGAAAACAGTAAACATTTTGGAGAATCACACTTATTCAAAGGCTACTACTTTTACTAGCGACGAAGTAGGCTACACAGAAATAACCTCAGAAGAGTCAAACTAAGTAGACTGCTTAAAAATACCTTCAGAATCAAATGACACAGTTGGGAAATGAAAATGGCGTTCTTTCAAAGGATCTGATTTTCTAACAAATATTTCATATGTACCTTTTTAGATACACCCAAGATTGGTGGAATTTGGCCACCAAAATTAGTGTAAGTAGAAATGTTATGAGTTATCAGACTTTTTTTTTAGTAATTTATGATGGTGTTATTTGCTTTCCTGCCAAATGTTCTAATCCTTACAGAGCCTTCTTTATCAGATTTGGCATAAATTCACCATATTTGATGAGCTATATCAATATTGTAGTTATATAAAAATAAAGTTACACAGAAATGGAAAGATGAAAATTTAGATGCTGTATTGTCGCCAGGATTTGGTTGTACAGCATTGCCATCTTACAAATCTGCTGAAGTTTCTAGTAAGTCAGAAGTTGTTAAGTTAACAGAAATCATTTCAAATAATTACCATTTTTCCAAACTTTCGCTCTGTTTTTTATTAGATTTTTTTTGGATATATCCTATTCTAACGATAGCATTTGTCAAATTAACCTTTTGACCTAACCTGATAAACACTATGGCACAAAATGCCACCACTGGAGAGGATAGAAATTTAATTAATTAAAATTAAGAAGCACAATTTGATTTCTTTTTACTTTTTCCACCATTTTCAGCTGTTTTATCCTATACAACAATATGGAATCTATTAAACTTCCCAGCTGGAAGTGTTCGTGTTACCAATGTTGATCAACAAGATCAGTCTGATTTGAATAATACAGAAGTTTATCCTGCTCAGAGTTTTATAGAACGTGAATTAAAAAAGGTAATATTAGAATTCCAAAGAATTATTTTTCTTGCCTGATTTTGCCATTTTGCTTGCATTTACCTGTCCTTTTGTCTGTTTTTTTTTTATCAAAAGATAAATTTCAAATGGCCAAGTACTATATCGTCTGCTCATGAGGGCCAATTTAAAATATAAACACGAATAATCCATTTTATCTTTAGGTAGTTTCAGTAGTTATCAACATAATGTAGGCTTGTATAGTCTGTATAGTTTCTATTACTATTTATTCTACCTAAAATAGAGTAGGACCTGGGTGAGCAGAAATATTAAGCAGAACCTGCAAATATTGGAGCTTTTGGGGTTGAGTGTCATTTTTCAGTTTGAGATCAAAGGTGGCTTATTGCTATACTGTCATAACGTGAGTGAAAAATCCCCAAATTTTGTTTTTCTATTTCAGTTATGTACAGATAGTGTTGGTTTACCAGTAAATGTACAGTGTATTGCTCTGCCATTTCAAGAAGAAGTGGTTTTACGTTTAATGAAAGAGATAGAGTTCAATGTATGAAAATACAGAAAATGAGTTGTAGTAATCTTCCCTTTAGTGCTGTAATAAATAAACTTAAGTATATAGTTGGTTTTCAGAGGTGATCTTATATATTTGTTATATTTCATTATTCTAGGTTATGCTTTTTTTATTAGTAAGCTAATAGTATTTAAATCTGCTCATACATATTTTTAAGCCAATTGTATGATTAGCCCTTATTTACTATTATGCAGTTGCTTGATAATGCTCATACTTATATTATTGTATGATATTATACAAAAGATAATTATGTACAAAAATGCGCTATATACAATTGAAAAGACTCATACTGTGTTTTTATGACAATTAGATGTAGACTTGCTTTGTTTTTATATAAAAACTTAGTGAATACTATATTATAATTTTCATACATCGTAAAATACTGATATCGTAATGCTCATACTTTCTGAACTACTCAACTATACAATGAATAAATAGTTCATACTACAGTTCATTGAACAAAGGTTGTCCTAATTGTTAAATATTTATTAAATGTAATGCTTATACTTTCTGAACTACCCTATTGTAGGATAAGTAACTAATAGTTCATTTTATTGTACCTAAACAAAGAATCTCTTATATATACTAAATGTTTAATGTACTAAAATATGTAATGTTTACCAAACTACTCAAAAGGTACTGTAATAAATAGTTCATACTATTGTACATGACTATTTCATGCTTAATATTTTGTGTACTTTTGTACTGATCTTAATAAATGTAATGCTCATATTGTACAATGAATAATAAATGCTGGAGTATATGAACAAAGGTTTTCCTATTTATACTTAATATTTTATGTACTTTTGTACAGATCTTAATAAATGTAACACTCAAGATTTCTGAACTACTCAAACTGTACAATGAATAATAAATGGTGGAGTATATGAACAAGGAATTTGCTAGTGATGCTTAATGATTAATGTACTATTGTAAAAGTGTTAACTACTCAAATTGTACAATGAATAACATATATATATCGAACAGTTTTTTTTTTTAATGCTCTTCTAATATTATGTCCTTATATATTATAAGTTCCTTATATTAAACATTGATTAGCCATTTTGAATTTAGCATAATTCTTATGCATTTGTTTAGATTTTTATGTACCGTACTTTTATGGGTTGATAGCATTATTCTTAAATAAAATATATAACACCAAATGAATTTTTCAATAGCATTAAACCTCGATATTTCTAGGGTAAATTCCTTCTACATGAACTTACTACCTTGAATGAGTTCAATTTGCCAAGTTAGCTATGATGTTACAATAGGCATCACATCAAAATAAATTAATCCAACCACTTTAGAACTAAATCATAGAAATGGACCTGTGGATAGATTGCTGTCTCATTTACCATTTCATTGTCTATTTCATGGACTTAAAGTCTACTTAAGTTCACCATTTATTTCAAGATTAAAGTTTGCAATATGTATAGCAGAAACATGATTTCATACAGACTTCATTCCTCTTTTAAAGTTACTTGTGGTCTGAAGCAATTTCACAATCTGGAGGAGGAAAAGGTGTAGGTATTCAGGTTGATCTTGAAGTTTATGTGAAGTTTATGGTGTCTTTTTCTTAATAATTTATTGTAATTCTTATAGTTAACTATTTACAACTATGAAAATTTTTCATTTATTTTAATTTTTAAGACATGACAATATATCAAGGTGGAAAGAGAGACACAACTGTCAAACTTGAAAAAAAAAATTGTTCAAGGGAGATAATAAAATTCGATCACTAATGCTGTCAGACAACAAATATCTTTGGATTTTATTATTGAAATCTTGAAGAATCATAAGGCCCTATATAACTTAAGAATACTTAAGCCTAGTTAGACTACAAGGCTATGTAGTTGATTATTTTTCAGAGAAACTTCATTAGTAGTTTGATTTTAATTCCTGAGGGCTATCTCCATTTTTTTTGATTAGTTTGGAAGACATAATTTCTTGTCAACAAGTTAACAAAATGAAAATGAATTACAACAGATTTCTGAATGTTACCAGTTTATCAAGAAAGCCTTCACCAATAAGAGTGCTTAGTAAGTAGGCCATATATGTCTATTCAATACTCACTCCTTAAAACTAAAAGACTCACTCCCTTCAGATTCTGTATTAAGGTTTGCCATTGATGATTGAACTGACAAAAGTTTGACTTTCCTAGTAGGCATATTCTTAAAGAGATTATAAGGTGTTCTATGTATATCTGGGACACTAATAGCATCAATCTGCACTATTCCAATTTTCAATCAGGTGTCTGTGGTTCCTGCAATTCCACTAAAACTAAGTGTTTGATGATGTCACTAATTGCAAATATCCTTGATCACACACCTCAAAACATCTTTTAATTTCAGCTGGTATTTTGCAACAAGCTCCTCCTTCTACTATCAGTATGGCAGGTGGCAGACCAAATCCTAGTCTCTTTCCTATTAATGGTGTTTCTATATCTTTAAGGTACGAAATTTAAATTACTTTGAAACTTTCATATTTAGAGCTGTCTGGAGTTCCTATTACTTTTCAGTTTTTGAAACGATCTTAGTGCTAGGATGTCCTAGAATCAATGTTTGATGATAAGAACCTAGGACATACTAGCTCTAAGATCGTTTCAAAAATATGTCGCCTGGTTCCCCTGTTATTAAATAAGAATGTGCCCATTTTATCTGAAACTGAGCTTCATCAACTATTAAGCAAATATTTACTTTATTATGGATGCAATGATGCATACTGTTGTTGTTTTATCATATTTTCTAATGGACACTCTGGTTTTCATATTGACTGCAAAAATGTGTTGTCGGAAAAAAAACATCATTTATATTGCTTAGACAAAAATTTATTTTTGCTCAAATAAATTTTAGTAATGGTACCAAATTAGACATTGAACCCAATCTTGTACAGAAAGCTTTACAGTATTCAGCAACTCCTGGGTATGTTCTGGTATTTCTAATTGCTTTATCAAGTGTTTTCAACCATTGAACCATCATATTGATATTCTGCCACTTATTGCAATTTGACTCATTTGAACACAATTTCTGAGAATTGATTTTTTGGTAGAGGTCACCATCTTTATCCATATCTTACATGATTACAAATAGGTAGAATATAAAGTAATGTTAGTAGCATAAGTTCAGATTCATTCATATTTCCATCATTTTGATAATGTCCTCGTTGGTGTTAAAAAGTCTCATTACAGACAAAAAGTGTCATGGAAAAAATAGACCTGATATATTTATGCTCCCAATAATATGGCACAAAGAATTTCAAAACGTTTCTGTAAAGTATATGAATTATTTAGTTTAAGTGAAATGTTAGATTGGATAAAGATGTTACAGAAAAATATCCACAATCCACCAACATTAACTAGTACAGATGAAAACCAGAAACTGGACATGTTAGTCATACCAGGTAGCCAAGATGGCCTTTGTAAGGTAAAGATTATCCACACGCATTTGATGAAGAAAAAAATCTGGAAAAAATTCCACACTCTTAACTAATCTTTGTTTCTTTTTATATGTACATTTTGCATCAAAGCCCTTATATTCTATTTAGAAAACTACCTTAAGATATGAGCATATTAAACAAGATTCATGCTTTACCTAATGATGAATCTTAATATGGGAGGATGGGAGTTAACTATTTATCATAGAAATGGCCCAGACAACCAAAATACAAAATAATAAAATGATTTAGTGAAAATTCTCAGTAATTTGATAATAATTACAGGCATTTGAAGCAATGATAAGTAAAAAAGATAATGTTTTAATTGAAATTCCCAGTTATTCAGGTACCTTGGCTATAGTAAGTATCATCATTTCTTATTTATAACCATCCTTAAAAATAACAAGTCAAAAACCAAAATATGTCATGTATAGGCCTACTTAGTATCAAACAAAATAGAATTCATAATAGTACCGATAGAGTCACAATTGTGGAATTGCAGGATCGATAAACTTCTGAAAGGAAATTAGAATGGTGGATATGGAAGCCAAAAAGCCTTTAAAATTTGCTCATTCACATTTCACCACCCACCCAATATAGTTCAAGTTCGCCACTTCGTATTTTGTCCCTTCCCAATTTGTCCCTTTTTTATTTCCCTTTACAATTTCACCCCTTATGAATTTATAAACCTGTATTTCAGGTCAAGCCTATTGGGTCATATTATATTGGTGTTGATTCAGATGAGCATGGACTTATACCAGGGAAATTAAAAGAAGCTTTATCAAAATGGAGTCCTGAAGAGTCTAAAAATCCTAATAGTGATATACCAAAACTATTATATTGTATACCAAATGGAGGAAATCCAACTGGTCACAGTTTAACATTACAGAGAAAAGAAGAAATCTATAGAATTTGTCAAGATTATGATTTATTTCTTATTGAAGATGATCCTTATTATTATTTACAATATGATCAGGTACAGTTGGGTAACCTTGGTAACCATAGTGATGTAGCACTCTTCTAAAAACACAAAACATAAGCAAACAGTTTACTGAAGTGATAAGTAATAGAATTTAAGTTGTTATTGGCATAATGTCCATCAAAAATAATAGTCGACACAAATGAAATGATGTCTATATATAATTTGGAAATTTGAGTAAGTAACAACATCAACATGGCAGCTAAACAGGCATAATGATTTATATTTTAACTAGAGATTGCTTGATTGTGTATTTCTTAACTCTCAAGATGGCAAACTTCCGACATCTCTGAAGCAACATCTTCACAATATCAAGCTGTTACAGCCAATCATGGCCCCCAATTACACTTTCGGCAAAACTTTTTACAGTTTTTCTGTCGGGTGCTTTGATGGCTATACTTGCTGGTGTACTATCCAATCAAATAGCTGTAAACTTCTGAGATACAAACTTCCGTACTGCAGAAGTAATAACTTATTATTTTCAGCCATATATTCCCAGTTTCCTCTCCATGGATGTAGATGGAAGAGTTTTAAGATTTGATTCTTTTTCAAAATTATTGTCATCTGGGTAAGTAAGATTTTTTTTTATTTGACATTCTAGCTTAAAAATGTTTAATTCTAGTGACCTGTAACTCTTTTCATTTTGACTTCAGGATGAGAGTTGGTGTAGTCACTGGTCCTAAAGCAATTGTTAATAGAATAGCTTTACATATGCAAGCTTCTGTTATGCACACAAGTGGAATATCTCAGGTAGGTGAAAATTTATCAGTATTTACCAGTCATGTCTGATTGGAGTTTTCAAAGGACTGTTTGCAATTCTGATTTATAGGACATTTTCTGTGCTTTATTGTTTCCATCTTTCATGAAAATTGAAACAAGATCTTGATTTATGTTTTGAAATATCTGGTTGGGAATTTTTAGGATCAACAACCCTGTATGAACCTAAAATATTTCATTTTTTTTATATGACTCTCTGCTTTGAATTAATCAAAATCAATATCAATATTCTTTATTATGACCAGTTTAATGTTTTAGACTCTTTTGTAAATGAAATTTAATCAGAAAGTTTTGCTACAGTACTGTTAGGACAGAGACTGTTTAAGATTTAAAAGAAGATAAGAAAAGGTACAGATTATATTCTCAATTATACAGTATATTGTTTTCAGGTATTAATGTTTAAAGTATTAGAAAATATGGGACTAGAAGGATTTAAAGATCATGTAAAAACTGTAGCTAACTTTTATAAAAGTCAAAGAGATGCTTGTATAAAGGCTGCAAATAAACATTTAACAGGTAGCATTTTCTTTTACTTTTCTGACAACAGCCATGCATGTCTGAGGGACTGAATTTGAAGTCGAATACACATCATGGAGTTTGGAGAGTGCAAATTTTTGTCTTCCACTATCCATTAACATAATACAAGAGTAGAGAAAAACAAATCTGAATGCAAATCAGGTTTTTTTTGCAGGTGACTCAACTCCATGTATGATCTGACAAGATTGTAATGCATCTTCTGTACATGTGTTCAACCAATCAAATGCAATAATACAATGTAATAAAAGATTCTCTTCCAGAACTCTTGGTGCCCCCATGACAGTAAATGAAACTATTCCAGGTTTGGTAGAATGGAATGTTCCAAACAGTGGAATGTTTTTATGGATGAAACTAATGGGAGTATCTGACAGTTTTCAACTGATAACAGAGAAAGCCAGAGAAAAGGAGGTGCTGTTTGTACCAGGAAATGCTTTCATGTTAGATTCCGAAAAACCCTGTCCTTATGTACGAGCTTCATTCTCGGAAAGTTCACCAGAGGATATGGACAAGGTAACACCCTTTTTAAAATTTCACAACTTATACATTCATTCATCTATTTGTTTTACCAGTAGATAGAGCCATCTGTATCACTTTGTAGATTAATGATAGGACTGTACATTCGTGTGCAATTAGCTAAAATGATGACAATATAAATATCAAAGGCATTATTCATATATGCTCTCGTAAAAAAAAGGCAAATTATGCTCCAATACTTGCATGAAAAAAAGCTAATACAATGCAAATGTGATATAGGCCTGGCTTTGCACCAAGATAACCCAATATATGTCTGGGTAACTGTGTAGGGTCAGAGTTGTTGGGCTACTGGTCATGCAGCTATCTATGTTTCTGGACATTTCAATTTGTGACTCTCTTATGTAACTTTTTCTTTTAGGCTTTTCAACGTTTAGCAGAAGTTTTGATAGAAGCCAAGAACAACTGATAAAATATTATTATATCAAATCAAACTAACCTACCATACTACCTATATATAGAACAGAAGAAAGCCCACATCTACTTGACTGCTGTTCCAAAAAATTGTGTCACTTACACATGGACTGATATTATTACAAAAAAGGGACGCTTATGACAAAAAATACAAACAAAAATATATTTATGACAACTGAAAATCCCCACCTGTGAGTGTTGTCTGAAAAAACCCGTCCCATCCCCCCAGAGCATGCCCATTTTCAAATAATCATTATTTGCATAATTCGTGTTCAGCTTTAAGAAGCAAACCTATTTTCACATTTTCAGAAAGAATGTCCGCCAGCTACCAGGATATAAAGAGCAGCTGTAGCTGATTGATTTCATTTTATAGTTTTTATTAATTCTACCAACTGCAAGATTACTTTTCTTCCCACCAATTTCTCTATTTTTTAAAGGGATAACTTGAAAACGTTTGCTTAACCAGCCGATAGAGCTCAAAATCCAGCTAATGCAGGAGTCTTGGTAAACGGTTGTTCGCTAACCTGAAGGTTCAGGGCAACTTCGGCATAGGTTGAGATAATACCCTTCGGAATTTTCAATTCAATTCCCCCCTGTCATTGTCAGTGGAGCTGACATCCCCCCTTTCCCGCTATAGGCTACTTTTATGCGCTTCTGCCGATAGTTTTACCCCCAATTCAGCCAGTCTGCCGCTATTTGTACCCCAGATCCGCGAGGGTGGCGCTGTCATTGGAAATAGTGATCGGATTTTAATTCCGAAAAGAGCCCTTACAGTTCTACGGTAGTATCTTCTAGTTTTAGCACCCTCCTCTTCCTCCCACGCTGTTGCAACAGGGGTTGTAACGCTTTTGTTGTCTGTGAACTTGGAAGTGCAACTAATGACGTCGTTGTCTAATGACGTTGTTGTAAACAAGCAATTCAGCCATGAAGATCAATATTTTTTTTTGTGGGGAGATGACCGAAAAAATCCAAAATAAAAAGGCTACAGTACCTGGGAATCATGCATTGGAAAATCAAGATTTTCATCATGAAATCTGCTGTAGCACTACTGTTCCTTGCCGGTACCAATGGTAAGTTTTTCTATCATATTACATACCGGTAGGCCTACTTTATCCTTTGATAACCATAACTTTGAACAGTGCTTCTCAACCTTTATGATCCTTGTCAAGGAGAGATGTCAAGGTCCTTAAGTTAGAATATTGAGCTTGGCTTTCTTGATCTTCTGGAACTAGCTTAATTCCAGATTGCCTCTTTTCCATGCACACTAAAAAAAGTAAGAAAGTTTTGTGCTCAAATTAGGATAGTTTTCGGTGCTTCGGTGCTTCACATAACCTGTTGCTTTCCTCCAGGTGGAGGTTCAACGATTTCATATTTTGGTCTTTTTATTCTTATTTTATCTTTAAAATTAGGCCTTTTATTCACCAAAGAAGAATGTTATCCGCCCTATGGATGTTTTGATAACAATTCGCCATACGACAACACTAATGACGTTCCAGTGAAACCAAGTGAAATTGGACTGCAGTTGGCTTTAAATAACCGAGCAAACCCAAACCTTACTAATCCAGATTTCTTGAGCCCCACAGATGCCGCATCTGTAACCAACAGCAGATTCGATGCATCCAAAAGGGTGGTGTTGATCATTCATGGTTTTCAAGGAAGTTTCATAAATCCCTGGGCTTTGTCTCTGGCAAATGGAATATTAGCGGTCGTAAGTAAGCTATGTAGTGAAGACTTCAATGAATTTTTTGTAAAATAAAATGCAACTTTGCAGAAACCGTCGACAGTAAAGTTGTCGAGTGTCCTCTCACTAGGCAAACTCGCTGTCACTTTTCATGAAAAGTTTAATGCAAACAATTAATGCTGAAATCACTGCTTGGTAATTATGTTATACTTCTTTTAATATTTCACTTTCAGAATAGATATCCCACTTTGAGTACGCCTCCATAACAAAGGACTATTTTGGAGAACGATCTTGTAGGCTAATTTTCATTGCTTTCCTTTATATATATGTCAGTTAAACTGTTTTGTTTTAATCCAATTGTTGACTGACCGGACGTCGTGTTTTCATTCTGAAATGTGACAAGGGTAGATGAAATATATTGACTACCATTGTCCCCTTTACAGGACGATGTGAATGTAATTCGTGTCGACTGGCACGGAGGAGCTAAAACTAAAAGTTACAAACAAGCAACAGCTAATACCAGATTGGTTGGTAAAATGATAGCTGTTATGTTAACCACCATTCACGATACAGTAGGAACATCCTACAAGCATATGCATGTTATTGGTCATAGCTTGGGATCACATATAGCTGGTTATGTTGGTAAATTCCTTCCCGATTCTTTAGGCAGAATATCAGGTAGGATAATCCATTTTTACATTGAACCAGCCATACAAGTATTGTGGCCTTGTCTGATGATCATTGAAGACTCCTCGGGAAAAAAAGCGAACTCCGTCGGAAAGACTTCATCATTTGGACCTGTCAGACACTTCCGCATACATTATTGCAATAAGGAGCAGTAAGCTTATACTAGATAGTATAACCCTTTGTATTCTATATAATTTTGTATCTGTTTTGAATTATGATTTCAGGATTGGATCCTGCTGGTCCCAGATTTGCAAGATCTGATACTCGTCTTAGTCCATCTGATGCAACGTTTACTGATGTGATACATTCTGATGATGATACTATGTTTCAATTAGGTATATTATTCAATTTTCTTCGTTGTTGAGTTGTCAACTACTGGTTTGGATTCTGAGAGGTTGCTGTTTAAAAATAACCAAGGAACAGTGACGGTGCTATAAAAAAAAAATAAATGTACCCCCACTTTATTTTTAACAAATTTTTAAAATATGATTTTTATAGGTTTTTGCCTCAAAATATGTGTCAGAATGCACTAAATCAATTCAATTTTTTCGAAAACTGTCTTTGGAGATCCCTATCTGACGTTCCCCGAGAAACTTGTGACTATAATGCCTCAACAGAGTTGCCGCAATTTGAATTCAGCCTCGACCGTTGTACCTCCCATTGAGTCAGTCTACTCCCTATTTGTACCCCCTGTCTTGGGAGGCCACTTCTAAAGCATAAACCTACACTGGGTGCAAATATCCACCCATATATCTTTATATCTCAGACCGGGCGATCTCGATATCACTAGGTGATCATCACCGTTTGATCTTGATGTCGCTGTGTGATCTCGTTATCACTAGGTGATCATCACCGTTTGATCTTGATATCATTATTTAGGATGGGGTACTGGGGTGCCGATGGGTGATTTAGATTTTTATCCTAATGGTGGAGAAAATCAACCTGGTTGCAGCAAAAGTATTTGGGAATATGTTTCCAATTTACTCTTTGATTTTGGGGGTAAGTTAAACTTTCTTGTTAATATTTTAGTCATATTCCTTCAGTGTTCATTGTTATTGTGATTCTATTATATCAATACTGTTATTGGCAGCACGGGACCGTGGTAGTTCTTTGGCTTACCTATCTTCGATCCGGATTTCGATCCCTGCTAGCCCAAAATAGCAATAGTTGATGCAGGTCGAAAGGGTTGAGATGGAAAAATCTAATCATTTTTGGTTGAGTCTCCTGCTACATGCTGCGCACCCAAAGACCCAGAAAAGTTAGGACATTAAAGGGATTGTAAAGAGGTTTTCTACAATTTTATGTGTATCGAGGACACTGGTGGCATCAATTTGCACCATTCCAATTTTCAGTCAGACGTCTTGTGTAATGACGTCACTTTTCACTTAATATGCTTGTAATACATAAGGCCCTTCGAGATTGAGGTTTTGGTAATATGTTGATGATGTTCTAAATCTACCTCGTGGCTAATTGCTGTATACAATTGTATATGGAGAATATAGCATAGAAACTTGTATTATAAGATATCTATGATGTAAAGAGCTTGTTTCCTATTTCAAATAATTTACTTAGAAATTTTACGTTTTTTATACATTTCAGAATTGTCAGAGCAAGTTGCATGTAGTCACATGAGAGCCATTAATCTATACATCAGTTCGTTAAATAATACATTTATTGGTCGTAAATGTAACAGTTATAATGATTTTAATGAAGGACTTTGTACATCGGATACAGCTATCATGGGTTATTGGGCTACATCAGTGCCCGAATGGGGCAAATATTATTTAAAAACCACAGCTGTCGAACCTTATGTTATTTGAAATATGTATTAAAGCAACTGTCTCTAGAATGCCATGATTTTATATGAACTCAAAGCCCTTCATCCAGGATATGACGTCACCAAATATAGACACCATTGGTACTTCCATAGATCATATTATCTTTCTATCATTCTTAAAGACCACAATTGCAATTGTAATGTGTCTCGTTTTATTAGGTTTTATTTCTCTGCGGGTGACTCGATTTGTCAACCATGATCTAAATACCACACTAGCAAGTTTTTTTTCCATTTGAATATATTATAATTTTGGTAATTGCCAAAACTGAATCTTCAGAATCTGAACATAGGACATTCGATTTGTTAAATGGGGTTCGGGTGGCATTTAAGTATATATAGGAGGAAATAAGACCCAACGACTAAGAAAAGAAATCATAGGTATTGATCCACCAGCCACAGTAGCTGACATTTGCCCCCCCTTTTTCATAGGTATATTTTTTAACCCCCTATGTTTTGCAGAAAATCCAGAGACTCTCCATGGAAGGTGACAGCCCCCCCCCCCCCCCCCCCCCCCATTCAGTTATTCTGCCTCAAAATTATTTCCGGGATCCGCAAGGATCTAGTGGTCCGATAAAGAACTGACTTTATCAAGAGAGGCTGTAGCTCACTGCTCAGTTTACAGAAGATACGATCTGATGGCATCGATTGCCTGTCTATATTATAATTATAGGCTATAGAGTATAATTTAAGCCATAAAAGAAGGAAAAACTTTGAAGGCGACAATAGCTATCTTGAATCAATATTAATGTTGAATAATGATAGAAAGATCATTGCAGAGATGTTACCTTTCTGAAAAGGTGCCCTACTTATTTTTAAAACATGGTATAAGATTTGATGTCACACCTGTCTGGATACAACACGTATACAAGAATAACACAATGGTTACTGTCAAGTAGCCTATTTATATATTAACATTTCATAACATATGGCTGGACTTAAATTTCTCCGCTGCTGAAAGAGATGTTTGAAATGATGTACTTTTAGTAATATCGCTCCCCTTAAATACCGAGGATATACCGTCTTTGGCCCCTACTCTCGGGGTCCTTTTCATTGACTTCCTTAATCAAGGAAGCTTGTAGATGCAGCGATTTGATAGGATTGCACGGTGTCGAATACAGCCAACCAGAGCCTTCGACAAAAAGGCTGTGCGTGTAACTACAATAGTCGAGCGCTTTGATTGGCTGTATTTGATAGCATCTATCCAATTAAATTGTCAATGTATTGGATGGTGTTCGTAATAGCTTCAAATTGTACCGTATGGCTTCTAATAAACGCCACTGGGAATCCCTTTCTTTCAATAGTGACAAATGTCAGCTCCAAATGTTTCTCAGATTGTAGTGTTCTGATTTTTTTTGACAGTTTTGATGTTAGATTTGTAACAGTTTCACTAAAATAGATCCCAATTGTAAAACTTACGTCAAGGTGTTATCTTTCCATTGTCAATAGAAAAAAATGGTATTTTTATATGAGGAGATGACCCAAATAATCCACATAAAAAGGCTGAAGAATCTTGGAAGCATACATTGGAAAATCAGGATTTTCATCATGAAGTTTGCAGTAGCATTGCTATTCCTTGCCAGTACTAATGGTAAGTATGTCTATATTGAATTGCAGATCTTATTCTGTGATATATTAAAAGTTCTAGTCGTCCCCAGCTGTCCAAAACTCTTTCATTTATTTTTGGTTAGTTTTATTGGAATTTCCCCTGTAATTTTGAAATTTGTTAATCCAAATAGGTATCCTTTCTGTTTGTAGTTGATATATAAATTGCATATTTTCTCTTATCGATTTTTGTTTTGTTTGTCGCTTTTTGAGGGGTGATTGGTTTGTCTTGTTTTGGGGTTTTTTTTTCATTTATTCATTGTAAGAAAACAGTTGCTCATTTTTTCAATATATTTGAAGAAAAGCACTTCTTTTAATGTTCTTTAAAAAAAAAATCTGAAAAAGAAAAACCATTGCGTATAGACTTATCCTTAATTTTATCTTTATGCAGGCTTTTTATTTTCCAAAGAAGAATGTTACCCGCCCTATGGATGTTTTGATAACAATTGGCCATACGACAACACTAATGACGTTCCAGTGAAACCAAGTGAAATTGGACTGCAGTTGGCTTTAAATAACCGAGTAAACCCAGATCTTACTAAACCAGATTTCTTGAGCCCCACAGATGCCGCATCTGTAAACAACAGCAGATTCGATGCATCCAAAAGGGTGGTGGTCATCATTCATGGTTTTCATGGAAGTTTCATGGATCCTTGGGTTGGATCTCTGGCTAATGGAATTCTAGAAGCAGTAAGTATAGACAAATAACTGAAGCTGAAATAGCTGCTTGTTTTCATTCAATTGTTGACTAACCGGGCGTCGTGTTTTCAGTCTAAAATATGATACGAGTAGTTCAAATTAAAATATATCGGCTGACTGCTATATACATTTTACAGGACGATGTGAATGTTATTTGTGTCAACTGGCACGAAGGAGCTAAAACTAATAGTTACAAACAAGCAACAGCTAATACCAGATTGGTTGGTAAAATGATAGCTGTTATGTTGACCACCATCCATGATACAATGGGAACATCCTATTATGATATGCATATTATTGGTCATAGCTTGGGATCCCATATAGCTGGTTATGTTGGTAGATTCCTCCCTGGTTTTCTAGGTAGAATCACAGGTAGGATAATTCATTCTTAAACTAGCCTGTCGGATACATGCCTAATCATCCAAACTTTCCTCGATAGTAACCGAAATAGACACAAATCGGACTTGCGTCAATATCTAAGCAAAAAATTCATCATTCCACCTGTAAGACGGTCTTGCATGGATTAGGAGCAGTTAATAAGGAAGTATGAGGGTTCAATATAATCTTTGAATTATTTTAATCCGTTTTGAATTATAATTTCAGGATTGGATCCTGCTGGTCCCAATTTTGCAAAATATGATACTTTGGTACGTCTTGATCCATCTGATGCCATGTTTATTGATGTAATACATTCTGATGATGATACTATCTTTGAATTAGGTATGTTCCTATATACTGTTACATAATGCAATCAAACGACGACCAGATTTACAACCATATGAACAGATCTGAACAGAATGATTGCGATAAAATTATGATTTTGATATCACTGGGTGATCCTGATATCACCGGGTGATCTTGATATCAACAGGGGATCGTGATATCAACAGGGGATCGTGATATCACCGGGGAATTTTCAATTTTAATGACTGTTTTACTGTTTTAGGATGGGGTACCGGGGTGCCGATGGGTGATTTAGATTTTTATCCTAATGGTGGAGAAAATCAACCTGGTTGCAGCAAACGTTTTTGGGAATATGTTTCCAATTTACTCTTCGATTTTGGAGGTAAGTTTAACCTTCGGTCCCCTGGGATATTTTCATCCCACGGGTATTTGGGGCTGGGGTGTCATGGATGTGGCCAACTGTTGTAGGAGAATTTGGTACCTTCTGTCACAACGTCTGGCTTCTCAATTTCCACGTTTGGATTTCAATCCCAGAATGGGCACGATGACACTTTCGTAGGCTATTTTTCGAACCTGATGGACAAACGTCTAGTTATTTGCATGGCAGGTTTGCTTACAGGCTGCGAATTCTAAAGATCTAGAGAGAGTAGGACATTATTTCATTTTCGACCAAACTGTTAATTATGCATTTCAGAATTAACAGAGCAAGTTGCATGTTGTCACATGAGAGCTATTAATCTATACATCAGTTCAATACGTAATACATTTATTGGTCGTAAATGTAAGAGTTATGATGATTTTAATGAAGGACTTTGTGAACCGGATACAGCTATCATGGGTTATTGGGCTACATCAGCGCCCAAATGGGGTAAATACTATTTAAAAACCACAGGAGTCGAGCCTTATGTTATTTGAAATAGTATGTATTAAAGCAACTTCATATTAAAATGCCATGTTTTTGAATGAACAAAATGCGTTTAAAGGGATTGTATAATGCTTTCTAAAAATTGTATATGTATGAGGGACACTGATAGCATCAATTTGCACCAATACAATTTTTCAATCAGACGTCTTTGGTTCCCGCAATCCTTCTTAAACTAAGTGTTTAAAATATAGCAAAATACGCATTATCACATAAGATCCTTCGCGTTTAGTGACGTCATCAAACACTTGGTTTTAGTGGGATTGCAGGAACCACACACGCCTGATTGACTCCACTTGATATCCAAGATCTGAATTTTTAGATACCACACTAGCTAATATTTTAATATAAGTTTAATTTTAACGGGTGATAAGTCAAATATAAATATATACACAATATTGTTTTACAAATAGATATAATATTACTTTGTTATTCCAATTTTCTGTTTGGATGATCTGGGTCCAAAATGGCGTCTGCTTGTTCTCGGCCTATCGCCCAATGTCCATTTCACCTTTTGCTGTAAGAAAAAGCAATTTTAAAGTATTCAAATCGGTATTGAAATTGACAATTTTTGATCCATTAGTTGAGTTGTGACGTCACTAAGTCCAAAACAGTTGTTGTCCGTCATTATTCTGAAACTGGATTCCTTATGTTTGTGATTGTTATATTTTGTAAGTGGCACTGGTTAAATTTTAAATACTTAGAAACAGAAGCACAATGTTAGAAATCGTAGATATGTATGGATCATGAGTATCAAGGGCTTTAAGTCGTTCTGGCTCACACACCTTTGAAAAACCTAACGTATTACCTAATTACATATATTTATATGAGTGGTCTACTCACCTGATAGTCATACTCTTTTGATTTGATCACCTGTCTGTTTCTGTACGACTGAAATTATACGTTATATTCTATTACAAAACATTGACATATTTGGAGATAAATCTGGCTTCATGAAGCATTGTTTTTTGCAGAACGCTAGTTCAGGCGTATATTCAGGAAATGACATTAATTGCTATAGACCTACTTACCCTGACAACCATGGCAACACCAAAACTAAGCTGCATCAGTATAAAAATAACCGAGAGACCAATTAACATTATATAGTCCAATATCTCAGCAGTTTGTGGCCACATACCAAATGCTGGTATCAAGGCGTGCCAAGCACAAACAACAAACAGAAATAATGTACTCATCAAAATATAGATATCCTGAAAATAACAATGGAAGACTTTAGATAGAAAATGAACACCATAACTGAATCTCCCAGAATTCCACATAATAATAATATAAAACGCTTGATTGGTTGAATAAGAATAGTAATTGTGAACACGTTGTATTGGACAAAAGTGTCCAATTACGATCCAGTCAGTTACAGGTTGACAAGATCATCAAAAATGAAATGAATGGAGTTTTACGTCCTACTTTTCTGCAGATCATAAAAATGATATTTAAGAAGATGTGACCTACCAAATGAGTAAGATAAGAAATCATAGGTAATGATCTAGCAGCCACCAGTTTAAAAGTTACGGTTGTTAAGATTAGAGTAAAACCGAGACTCAGACGTGTTTCATGGCTGGTTCTGTCCACAGAAAATGTTCCCAGAGACATAAAGCTGATCAAAAACTGAAATAGAAAATTCACATATAAAACTGGTTCGTAAAATGGTAGTACAATTATAGAGGTTCGTTTCCCGAAAAAATATTGGTATCAGGGGTTACAGAAGGGAACTTTTCAATTTCTCTGGACGGGCAAGATGCGGTGGAACTTGAACTTACCCACTCGTCTGGGACATTGTTGTAAAATGCAAATTTATGAATGGTTTTAGTCCAAAACATCAGCCTCTATTCCAGTCTTTGAAAGCTATTTTTACAGTTGACGACTCAGCTGACAAGTTTCACATTAGCTATCAAAGGCTGGAATAGAAGCAGATGATTCGGACTAGCATGGTTCATGGTTATATGGTTCTGATATGAATGAAAATACATTTACCATGACAACTAAAATATTCCAGATGAAATAACCAGGCTTCCTGAAGGCACAGCAAGTAAAGAACATGCCAGGTCTTTTGTATCTGTTCTCACTGTATTCAATTGGTGTTATTTTAGATCGACATTCAACGAAATCTCTCATTTCCCATTCTTGTATATCACCAAAGTTGAGAGTGTATACACTACTGGCTTCTTCATGTTCTTCAATAAGCTCTACTGATGTAACAGGGTGTTCACTGGTGATTAAGACCGAAAGATGCTGAAAAAATTAATTTTTGTAAACTATAAGCTCAATACATTTGAATTCTCTTGAGGGTCTTAGGTTCAATGAGAAGTTAAACAATCAAAACTTGGATGTAACTAACCTATATATCTTAGTTCCGGACAAGAGTCGAGGTGACCAATCAAATTCAGTGATCAGAATATCGCCTTGATGGATTAAGGGCTCAAATGTCGAACTATGTCAAGATGGCAGCTCACCTGGGTATCAAAAGGAAATTCCTCCAGTTCTAAATTTTCATAAAACGTCCCTGTAGCTCTTCTCATTTCTAATACATAAGCTTCTCCATCAATACCAATCTGTACGTCTCTCCAGACTGTTTCTTTAAGCTCACCCTTATAATTACCTAATTGCAGTCTGGGGTCCCAATATTTATCCCAGTCTATACCAATGATAAACTGTAATAGAAAAATAACCAATATCGTATCTCAAAATCATAAAACTGAATGGTGGAAGAAGGTCGAAGATGTTGGGAGAAAATTGTGGAAGCAAATATGATGTTTATTTCATATTGAGGTTTTTGAGCTTTGGAAACAATTTTAGGTCATCGTGAATTTTTAATGCAAACTGAATAAGTTTGCCCTTAATGTTTTTCTCTCGTTTTACTAATGTTTTATATCCATAGGCGATACAGCCATCCAATGCTAGGTATCGCTAGCGAGGTCCTCGTACCCTTTCCAAACACCTGATGCCACTCCAACATTCGTTATGCGTAATATGATATTTGGTGACATTGACTACTTGCCTAGAATATCTGCTTTCATAATATCTCCAACTGAACCTACCTGTGGTGTACTGTTATCAAGTTTGGTTTCTCGCCATCTTGCCCGGACGAATACTTCTGCTGTAAATTGTTCTTTAAGTGTGTCAATGTTTTCAATTTTCAGAAACACTGTCTGTAGATAGACCTTCGGCTGTAACAAAAGGTGGAAAACTATTTAAAAAGTAACTAAGCCCATATGAATTAACAGGGCGAATAGGATAACCATCTCACCTGCTTGCCTCAATATCCATGATGGCGTATCCCCTTTCTCTGGTTATCAGTGCACCTTCAACTTTCAAAAATATTTCATAATTCCGTAAACTTTGCGACGGTTTCATTCCATATATGGAAGTCATGAAGGTCGTTTTATGTCATCGTTCGTATATGCATTTCAAATTTTATAGTTCCAAAATGAAGAAAGGCACCCCACCACCCTATTACAATGCCATCGGTTTTCCTCGCGAAGTTATATTTGTAACTTGCTTGGGTGTTGTATTGAGAATCCACAATGACAAAGAATATTTTGTTACCAATTATCATACATACCAAATTCTTTTTAATGACAGTTGTAACGGTTTTTTCTTTTTCCGTCATTTTCCAGAGGTATTGTGAAAATCCAAAGTATTTCACAGAGAGCCAACGAAATAGTGAAACATCCAACGCAGTTCTGATATAAAAGCTCGCGTTGTTAATCTGACATGGTTACCAATAGTTAATCCTGTATATACTTCGATTCGACTAGAATTAGATTAATCTTTTGATAATCCGCAGACAACTTAATAATGGCGAGTATAATGATTAATTACCAAATCAAAATTTATTTTCATAATTCTATTATCGATTATATCGTTTTTATATAGTTTTTATACAATTGTATTTATACTGTATACACATGAAAATGGTGCATTACTTATTTATAGAATAAGAATTCAATTTGTACACTTCGCCTACAATTAAATCAAGCGTATTGTCACGTATTGACTTGAGAAGCGACAATCTAAGATTCCGAAACGTATTTGGAATTCTTAACATTGATGTCATAATATCGGTGTCTCAGCTCTATGCATAGAAAATGTAAAACACAGCATGGAGGGTTTATTTAAATGTAGCAGACCCATAATCTGCAATCAAAAAAGGGTCATGGATAGCCATGATCGACCTCTGTGTAAAGCCAATATCGAATCGACTTTACCCACCAAAATATTTAAAATTTACTTCTAAGCATTTTCCTCATACAAATTTAGGATTAGAAAGATAGAAAGATCAGGATGACTGTATTAAACAGAATAAACAAGGGCCATAATTCCTGATATGTTTCCATATAACTGAATTTCAATGAGCAATGTCCATCGAGTTTTAATGTATAACTAGTATACCCTGCCAAATTTCACTACATCACTTTTCACGAGTTTCTGATAACATGCCGTGGTGCTTCCTAATCCCAATTATTACCAAAGTGCCAAGACTGCCAAGAGTAAATGGTTGACCCTTTTACCTCTTTATAAGACACAGAAACCAAGAATAAGACAGATACAAGTCATTGGGGAGGATAAGAAACTAAATATACTGTGTTGGTAAGTGCGTTCAATTTTTCACTTGAGTTAATCTATACCAGAAAAATACATTCTCGAAATAAAGGATAGGCATAATAGGCCTATGTGTTAACTGTGCCTATCTGGTTCAGTTCCAACTATTCATTGATTGGAAAAAAAAACAGCTATAGTATAAGAGGGACAATGTCCACTACAACCGATGTCAGTTTCTATAATAGCTATACATTCTCATTTCACCTTTTAACCTTTCGGAGCCCCATTTACAGAAAGTACTATAGTATCGGTATTTTTTTATTACCGGTACTATATATACAACCACCTCATTACAAATGCCTAAACAGGTTCAGGAACCAGCATCGTCCTCGTGTGCTCGGATCAGGGGAGATTGAGAAACGATAGCAGTGAGCAAACATTGATTTCAAATGAATAATGATAAATAAACAAAGCGTAGTTATTGTGTGTCCAGCATTCATGTTCTTTTCATGGCAATCAAATTGTGCATGATATCAAAACTATTTCCATCTGGTTGTAAACTCACTAGACTACCACCATTTAATTTCACCTGTAGAAATCCAAAATCGTCAAGTCCATTAACTGTCGCCTCTGCAAAGTCCAAACTTTCCACCTTCACTTTATCACCGCTGTGAATCCAGTATTTATAATAAAGATCACAAAAGGCTTCTGCCCCATCAGTTTGAAAGAAATGTATCAGCTGTTCAATATGGGTAACAGTGCGAGCTATAAGTTGTTCCGTGGTACACAGTGGTATGAAGGTACCGTGGTTGTTGTTCCAATTGCTGATAATATCATTAATACAGATAGTTGGATTACTATTGGATACGTTGAATCCACACCCGATTATAGTATGGATAACAGATCCGATCATTGAAGAATTAACAATTACTCCACCTAATTTCATAAGACGATTGAAATAGATGTCGTTCGGCCATTTTAATTTCAATGGTAGGTCCTCACATTGTGGTAAAGTTCGAACACTTTGAACTACAGCAAGCGACACAATATGTTGCAAGAATGATACCTTTTGTCCTAAGGTACTGTTAAGATCGATCCGTACGTGTAAACTAAACATAGCACATCCTAATGGACTCAACCACGAGTTTCCACCTCTTCCTCGACCAGAGGTCTGACGACCAGCTATCGCAATAACACCGATATTTTCTGGTGCTGAAAACATAAAGCCATCTAGAACCGTCATGGTTGTTGGAATCACGTCGGTGTATAAAAGAACCCTACCAAGAGACTTGCTGTGTAAATTATTCCAATAAATATGTGGTTCAAAATATTGGAACGATACACTTTCCGCATGAGACATTACTGGTAGCAGTGTCGCAGTTGGCTCTTCGCGACCATCAAAACACAATTCAACTCCTTTACTTTTTAAACAGTTGTCTTTTAACTTTCTGGAAAAGCTTTCCAAGAATTCCCTTATCTGTTCATCGTCTGAAGCTAACAAGTATGCTGGTGTTAGTTTTGGAGGATCACCCGCACTGCAATCTACTCCGAGAACTCTTAACAGGTCCGTAAGTACGGCCAACTTTGAAGAATTTGATTCTTTCAACGTGGAAAATTGAGATTGATTCAAATTTTCATTTGACAAATCATTGTCTAAAGATGCTTGACATAAGATGGCTTTATTTCCACCAAAGGAAACTTTCCCAATTAATGCGTCATCTTTGGAGGTTCCGAATCCAACAAAGTCCGTTCCTTCTGGTGATACTGTTTCGCTCCTACCATACGTTCTACCAGACGATAAAAGATTCACATCCCTCCATTCTTTATAAGATAACTGAATGATCGGCGTTGGTACCTTGCACTTTTTCACATCTACGAATTTGCGCTCAAATGAAGATTGGAAACTTAAAACATTGGCCTTCTGTTTGAGAAAGGCGTAGAAAACATCGTCGACTTCCGGTGTTGCTTCGGCACGTGAAAGGATCAACAAGGCGGTGTTGTCCTGCCACGGTGTTTTAAACAGGTGCTCGTGTTTTAAATGGTAAACTGTGTAAGTCTCTTGGTTTATACAATGTCTGATAAGATCATTCACTTGAGAAAATCTAGAGACAGAACTATCATCATGGCCAGAATAAATTAAAATATTAGGTGGCTTGATTCCTCTAGCTTTAGATCCGGACATTTTCCTATTGTGATTGACACCGATTGATCTACAACCAATAATTTGTTTTGTACGAAAATTTTGGCACCGAGATAGAAAAACGTTTACTTTGGCTTGTATCATTACATACTTGAAAATATTGCTTCTATAATTTGTATTTAACACTTGTTATCTGCCACTTTATTCAAGAATACACCGAACATAGGTAACACCAACTCAAAGACTCTGTAAAGTAAAGAATTAAGTCCATCACACTGTTCGTTAAATGTCTTTAATCTGAGTCATGCGTGGAAAATTTCACAATGTTTTAGACTTGAATATGGTTGCCATTTGGCCTTGTTGCCTAAAATGAACTCAAAATACTTCTTCAACGAACAGATTGCAGTTTTAATACCCTTGATAATAGTGGTCCACAAATAGAAGAGTTTTTCGGACTAAGGTTATCCTGTTCTTTATGTTACCGAGGCGAAGAGACCTTAACAGAAAAAAAGCAGAAGATCAAAACTTGATAGCTTTAAATGAATCTTTTAAACCGCTATGAAATGCAGAATCCCACATTTAGCCAACAGAAACTTACTACATCCCGTGACAAACTTGCAAAATCAGCATGACATTTAATGAGGTTGGTGGACAGATATTTCCATCCGCAAAGTTTAATTATACTGCACTGCGCATGTCGCTTTACCTAGTCAGTCCATAGTAAACTTGCGCATGGTTCACGATCAGAAGATTGAAATATCAGAGTCAATAAAACTGCCAGATTTATAAGCTTTGTAGTCCGAAACATTGTGATAAATTTTGTGAAAGTGAAAGTAGTAGACACTCTATGAATTATAGACATCCTATGCGATTTGCATCATAATCATGTTAGCAGGTGTTTGTCATTAATAAGAGTCGTTGTAAAGGCACTTAAACAGAATTCAAATTTCGATGAGTCTGAAATCTGGCAACACTGCAATTTCATACCGGATGTTTACATTTTGCAACATCAACAAATCACACGTGAAAATGGTGTGATATTTGTCATTGATTTCACAACAATTAGAAACATTGCTATTTATATAAATACCGTGCTGGCGGTATCAAAGTACAAATGATATGAGAGTGAAATAATCTCGGTGAAGGTGATGATAAAATATTTTTTTACCGATAACCTGATGACTGAAATAGAAGACCCTCTCTTTTGAATGCTTATGCAATAACTGCTCTGTGGTCAAAGTTCACTGAGCAAGTATTGATGATCAACTCAAAAATAATAACATAACTCTTAGGTTATTTTGGGATTTATGAAAGTCCATCCTATGAAAAAATTATTACATGTATTTGGTGTTGGTGATTTGAACTGGTTTTTGTAATAAATTTGATTTTCAATTGAATAGTAGGCCTATGGCAAGGGCACTAATAAGCAAGCTCTTGAACCTTATGAATTAATGTTGGTTAAAATTCATAGGTTGTAAAAGGACAATACTCTATTATTATAAGAGAACAGATGGCATAATGTATCCTAGGACTTCTTTCATTTATGATGAACAATCTGGAATATTTTTACACCTATTTTCTAAAAATGAACACAGTTACAATCTGAAATGTATATCTGGTTGATTGAGCTTTAGGCTTACTAGTTACAATTATCTTTGATTTTTATTTTCAGAGCCTTGTAACAAATATCATGACAGAACAGAAGGAATTGAATCTCTGCCTCATTGAACTGGCAAATTGATCTGAAAGTTTCTATTAACTAAAGCAGCCATGTCAGATTTTGAACAGATTTTGACTGAACTACGACCATTTGGTCCATATCAAGTTCGTGTTTTTGTATTAGTATCATTATTTGAAACTCCCTTGGCATGGGCAATGTTATTGCCAATATTTACTGCTGCCAAACCTGCCTGGAACTGTAATGAATCTCTGAATTCCTCTTCTCTAAATTCCTCAAGTAGTGGGTTGTGTCAAAACGATGGAAATGAATGTAATGGAATCTCATTTTCAGAAGAATTTACTTCAATCGTAAGTGAGGTAAGTAATGTCATTTAACATTCACATGACCTATAACTTTATTTCCAGAAGATGAACACATCAAATGTTCAACATAGTCCAAGAAAGATAACCCTAAATAAAAGTTGTCTTCTTTAAAAAATCAATGTGTCTGCATTTTTAACACGCTGAAAACTTCGACAATTGAAAACCCTCAAACTAGCCTCCATGTTTATCCCTACACATCCCCCTAAATTTTCTAATTGGCAGAAGTCTCCCAAAAGAGAATACACTAAACGGACCACTTACTCATTTGAAACACTGTAAAATGTGTTTCACAGACAGCGGTGCCACTCAAACCTAAGTAGCAGGACAAATACAGCAAACAAATTAAGAAGCTCTAATCAGACATGTTAGTCAAATACATCATTGCTCTTGATTTTGAAATATTTGCAGGACAATCATTATGTAACCATGACAACGGTCAAGTATTTACAAATCTCATGTTAGTTTTTGTCCATTCTAGTGGAATCTTGTGTGTAACAAGAGTATGATACCAGGTTTAATTACCTCTCTACAAATGGCAGGAGTTATGATTGGTGCTATTATTACCGGCCAACTAGCTGATTATTTTGGTCGGAGAAAAGTATTATTTATAGAGTTCTCTCTACTTATTATTTTCTGGTTTGGAAGTGCCTTCTCCAACTCATGGCAACTTTATGCTGCTCTCCGTGTGATAATTGGAGCTTTAGTGGGTGGTAAGTGAAATAAAGAAATTGATTAGCATTTAAGACAATTACGGTTCATTTGAAGAATTAAAAGCATTCAAAACAATTATATAGCCCATTTAATAGCAAGGGACAAATTGTTTGAACTGATATAGACTTTTACTTCAGTGATGAGGGGGCTATATGCCTTTATTGTGTTGAGTATTACTCAAGTTACAACATTATATGAATATTATATATGTGTTATATAATATATTATGTTAATAACTTATATATTTTATATCTTGTATACTATATCATTATGTTAATATATATCCTTTGTTATATTATAATACATCTTTAATATATCTCTATAATACATCTGTAATATACCTCTATAATACATCTTTAATATATCTCTATAATACATCTTTAATATATCTCTATAATACATCTTTAATATATCTCTATAATACATCTTTAATATATCTCTATAATACATCTTTAATATATCTCTATGTATTTAATTTCATTGTAGGTACGTTGGTGGTTAATTTTGTTCTACCATTAGAATTTGTGACACCAGCTTGGAGAACATTTTGTGGTTGTATTGGATTCTGGGCTGTGGGTTTAGCTAGTTTAGCTTTATGGGCATACCTCATGCATGATTGGAGATATCTAACAATGGCTACATCTCTAGCTAGCATACCCCTATTATTTACATGGTGGTATGTTCATTATACTTATTACTGTTTTTGTAAAGAAGAGTTGTTAATTTTGAAATATCTCAGAATTTGTTTTCCTATTTCTAGAAAAGACGATTTGTCTTTTTAACTTTCTAACGCGGATAATTCGGGACACACAAAGATTTGAAGGCGCATCTGTCCTTTAAAATGCAGTATTTGAAATTAATATTTAGGTTTATACCAGAAAGCCCACGTTGGTTGATAAACAGAGGAAGATTAGAAGAAGCTGATCAAGTGTTGAAATCTATGGCAGTCTGTAATAAAAGACCAGTTCCTGATTTTGATAGACTCAAAGAATGCATGATGGTTAGATATTCATGATTTTCTTTAAATTGCAGACAATCAACATATCAGATTTTCATTCTAATAAGTACTACAGGTGATTGAGCTCCATCAGCTAGAAAGGCAAGGAATAGATAATACTACCAAGAGTCTTAATGATTCATAATTCATGTTACTCAAATTGTCATCAAAATCAAAACGGTTCTACCTATCAATTTCAGAATGAAAAAATCAGAAGACAAGAATCAAAAAAATATACTTATTGGCATTTATTTAGTTCCTGGAAGTTAACTAAAGGAACATTGATATTAATGTATAGTTGGTAAGTACTTGAAGTGCTTGTCTCAACAGTTTTACCCTTAAAATGGGACTTAAGTACCATGTTAGGACATCTTCACAATATCAAGTTTTTGCGAACTCAGTCTAATACCTTGACATCATAAGGCATTATTCAATGATATAATCACTATAAAACCAAATTATATATCATTTTAGGTTTGTGTCTAGTTCTGTATACTATGGTTTAAACTTCAATACAAAAAATTTATCTGGAAATCGCTATTTGAATGTCTTTATATCTGGATTAGTTGAAATTCCTGCTTTAATATTAGTGGTAGCTGTCAATAATAAAATAGGTAGAAGGAAAACTGTAGCTATGTTAATGATAATTGCTGGTATATTTTGTTTATCTATTTTGGTAGTAGATTTGTTAGGTAAGTATAAAGTCTCTTATTTAAAGGGCTTGTAAAGAGGTTTTCTAAATTTTTAAGGTGTATTGAGGACACTGATATCATCAATTTACACCATTCCAATTTTCATTTTTTTTATTGTCGATAATACTTTTAGGGGTAGTGTTCATCCTATTATATTTTTTAAAAATTTTAAACTTGGCGCTCAAGGTATGTGAAAGATTTTCAGCTTGGTGTTCATGGAATGATGATGGCTTCTAGGCCTCTTAAAAGGGTTAAAACTATCTTTTTTATTTTATTTCTTCCTATTCTTGTAGAAAAATCTGAAACGATGCCAGTATTGATACTTGTGCTAGCTATGATTGGTAAATCTGGTATTGCTGGAGGCTGGGCAGCTGTTCAGGTATTTTCTGCTGAAACATTCCCTACTGTTGTTAGGTAAGTAGGCTGGCTAAGATATTTATCACATCATATCTACTGATATCTTTTTTGTTATGGGGTAGCATATAGTTCGTTTATTCTGGTTAAACAAATTATAATGCTTGTGCCAGTGCTTCCGAGAGTTGGCAGTTTTTCTCTGAAAATTCTATATTTTCATGTTCTGAATATAAAAATTGAAGTAATTTGACAAAAGACAGGTTATTGTAAAATTTCTTAAGAAATATGGGCCACATTTCATTTCCCCACCATTGAATCTTTTTTCTTTATTATTCCAGAAATTTGGGTGTGGGAGCCTGTTCAACATTTGCTAGAATAGGTGGAATTGTGGCACCTCAATTAGTATTCTTGGTAAGTTTTATTTATCAGGTATCTTGTCTGTCATAGCTACCAGTACATTCATGTACAGAAAAGTGTCTTGTCATAGCTACCAGTACATTCATGTCAAGAAAAGTGTCTTGTCATAGCTACCAGTACATTCATGTCAAAAAAAGTGTCTTGTCATAGCTACCAGTACATTCATGTACAGAAAAGTGTCTTGTCATAGCTACCAGTACATTCATGTCAAGAAAAGTGTCTTGTCATAGCTACCAGTACATTCATATACAGAAAAGTGCCTTTTTCTTGGTACTAGTTACATTCATGTACAGAAAAGTGTCTTGTCCTTGCTACCAGTACATTCATGTACAGAAAAGTGTCTTGGATAGCTACCAGTACATTCATGTACAGAAAAGTGTCTTGTCATAGCTACCAGTACATTCATGTACAGAAAAATGGTTTGCCCCAAAATATGTGTCAGAATGCACCAAATCAATTCTATAATTCAACAAATTTTTTAGGGGAGAACCCTCAGGTTTGTGCCTATGCGCTTCTACAGAGCTGCCATGTTTTGACTGTTCTCCCCCCAACGAGTCATTCTTACCCCTATTTATGCCCCCAGTCTCGGAAACTACTTATCTTGTTGTTTTTTTATGCAGGGTGAAGTATGGAAACCTATACCATTTGCAGTATTTGGAGTTCTAGCCTTTTTATGTGGTTTGTTAATGTTATTTATGATAGAGACCGTGGGTCAGCCATTACCAGATCAAATTAACAAATCACAGTATAAGACTACTAGTCAATTAGAGGAGGATATACCTTTATCTAATGTGTTATAAATCTTCATAATATATCATGATCAAATCAAATTATGATATCAAATAAGCCCTGAATTCATAGCAGCTTAGTGAAACACATCTTCACAATGTCAAGATATTATTTCCATTTAAGACCTTGACTGCAATAGCCACCTTTCTTTTATCACTTTTGTAAATGCAGCAATTTGATTTGATTTGGATTGTACAGTAGCTATTAAATCCACTTGTAGCCCCTGATTACATTTGCAGCTAATTTGTAGTCTTTCTGTCAAGGTCTCTGATTGGCTGTATTCCCTAGCCGAAAATCCAATCCAATTGCTGCATTTAACATCCCTCGTCATACAAGAAAGGTGCTTGACATGAAGATGAGTTAAATAGGAAATATCATTTCATTTTCATCCAGCTATATGAGTAAATTTGTGCCTTGTTATTTAAGAATTGCGTTACACCGTAATATATTCCTTTGTGTTATTGTGTCATAATATTGCATTTCGTAATTGATTGTGAATTGTGTATGTGTGATATTGTATATTAAATCTGTTAAAGCCTCATTCATAATTCTTGGTGAATTGGTGTTCAACAGTTATGTAGGCTGTTAAATATCAATCTTATGTTGAGGTTAATGACAAGAGTACAAGTTTTGAAATCCTGAGAAATAATAAAGCAGGCAGTATTTGTCCTTGCCTTCTCTTTTTAAACTTAGTAATGACAAGTCAGAGGTCCAACCTAAAGGCAATGAGCGAGTAGTTTTGATTAAGTTGTATGTGCATTTCACGAAAGTCATCATATTTTAGAAGGTATGTCAATCTATAATCTGTCCTTCAAGCATTATGTTCGCTATTATACTTCATGAACAACCATTTTTGATGTCTGTGTTCGGAACATTGATTTGCGACATTTTGATGATCAGATACGATAGCATAAAAATATTCAAGCAAAGATGTTTCTGCATATACTTAGGAATTGTACCCGATAGTACCTTTGTCTTCAACACTACTCACAGTAATGTTAATTGGATTATAGTAGTGATCTGCAAGTGCTATATTTTATCTATGTAATATAAGAAAATATAAGATATTCATATAATCAATATTGTATCTTTTTTCATATATCGAAGGCATAATTCACACGTCTTACTTTCACATTCTGCAGTGCGTTTATTTTGCAATTTACATCATTGAAACTGTGCAATTAATGTCAAGTTTGGGAATTTAAATTCCATGTTAATTATAAGAGGAATAATTCTTTTAAGCTGCCGAACAGTAATAATTGAGCAACTCCAAATTTCAACAGTACTAGTCTCAAGGAGATCTGGCCATCAACACTGCATTTGTAGACTGCCAGAGGAAGACTATTATAGATCCACATCAATACAAGGGTTTATAAACAGAGCATAAAATAAATATACTGGAGAAGGACAGTTTATTCTTAAATTAACTTTATACATACAATAGATATCAATTGTTTTTTAAGAACTGCGAATTTCTTTTGTTTTACGTTTTACTAGAATTATATAATTTGTCAATTGCCATTTCCCAAATACCATGCAATTAGTTTAAACAAGTGAATAGAACTTTGGATCTGATCTTTATTGGCACTAAAAAAAAGTAGCACTGAAGTCTTTAAATGTGAAATTTCAACTTTAGTCCTTTACATTTTATCCAAGAAATTTTCCAGAAGTGGAACACCTTCTTTGAGACCCTTTCGTTTTCTTGCTGAAGATACAACTACATATGGTTTGGAAGTGGGATCATTTATGGGGTCACCAGGTAAAATCTGCCAATGATCAAACACACACTGTGGGAAAGCTTTTCCTTGAGTCTGAGATCTTAAATCTCCAGTGAAGCCTGAAATGGAACAAGTTACAGAATTTAACATTTCACATTTTCATATGGAGCAATTAATGCCTTGTGCAGAAAAAAAGAACACCAAAGACTGCATTTTAACCAGATTTATTTTTAAGCTAGATTTACATCCACCACATGACTCTCTAAACAGCTGATGTCAGGGACTGGATGATCAATTTGACTCACTTTCATCTAATACTAGTATGAACATTTTATTTTCACTTACCAAAGGATTCATTTACAGGTAAATGAGCTTTAACCAGTGTTTGTGGTGTGTTTCCAACTGGGTTGTTTTCAAATACAACACCTCTTCGTCTATTCAATGTGGAAAATACTCCACCCATAGCAGCATCAGGTACCTAAATTTAGAGATAAATATACAGGAAGTACATTTTGTTACAGATATATATATTTGTAGAAGATATAGTACCATCATTCATGTTGCAAAGAAGACAATTTTGGATTGAACATCAAGAGTTTATTTTTAATGTTCTCCACTTCCTTAAACTGAAGCTCATACATGATATCTGCCAAATGTATTGTAATCATGTTTAAATAATTTTACATACCATAATTTCAACAAGATATACAGGTTCCAGGATCTTTGGTGCTGCAGTTAAGAAAGAGGCATAGAATACTCTTCTAGCTGTTGGAATAATCTGTCCACCACCACGATGAATAGCATCTGTATGTAAAGTGACATCTTGAATGTTGAATCGAACTGATCTCATATTTTCTTCACACATAACTCCCTGAAAAATCAACAGTTAATAATAGAATACACAGCGTAAGTAATAATGGCTAATTCTCCATTTTTAATTCTTTCTTCAGCAAAAAGTTTCTATCAAATCTAATAGACAAGATTCAAATTGTCTAGTACTTAAATACAAAATTATTAATCCATACCCACCTCTTTTGTTGCCCAGTTGAATCCAGCTACACAACTATCTTTAATTTCATTCAAATATTGTACAGCTTTAGTGCAATCCATAAGGAAATTAGGTCCAGTTCCTTCAGGACCAAAAGCCCATATTTTCCTAGCTTCACCGACATCCATGTTATATTCTTCAGCCAATACTTTAGCTCTGGATTTGAATTCTTGTCTTGGAGTAATATCACCCTGAAATTACAATGGTTCAATATCTTATTTACTAGCTCGCTAAACATGGCATGCATTTACTGACTGCCTATTACAACACAATATGCCTTTCAAAGGTCACATTCAGATGTACCAACAAACCAAAAATTACAACACGGAAGGCACTAAACTAATGTCAAATTGATAAAGTATACAAGCTTTCAAGGGACAACAATTCACTTACATCATCAATAGCTTGAGCTAATCCTTCAGGTAAAGGAGCAGCTTTAACAAATAATCGATTGTGTTTGTTAGCAGATTTTGATAAGCAGGTCTGAGATGATTCTTCTGATACTGTTTCACGGTAAGATACAACTGGATCAGATTTCTTCAATGGAATACAGGCATGATCTTCTTCCAAATCTTTCAGACAGATTTCTAAATGTAATTCACCAGCTCCAGCTATAATATGTTCTCCAGATTCTTCTGTACTACACTAAAATAACAATTAATGACATATTTAAATTGTTGTCTCGTGTAATTCTAAATTCTTATATGTTTAAGTACCACTCAAAGGAAAGATGTAATACTCCTGGTTTCTGTATCTCGATATAACCTTTGCCCATTATACCTGATATTAGCCCAATGTACTGATATCAACTACTGTTGAATATAGTTACCTGAACCATAGGATCTGATTTAGCCAATCTTTTTAATCCTTCTACCAATTTAGGCAAGTCAGATGGATTTTTACAGTCAACAGCAACACGTACGACAGGGCTGACAGAAAATTTCATTACCTACAAAATCAAAGTTTTAGACATTAGTTTCTGTATCTTATTTGGTTGATAGAGGAACACGTGTAGATACTTATATCTGATTAGGGTAAAATTAGAAATAAGTCAGTTTGGCAATGCATACAATATATAATCATTGGAAAGAAGTTCAAATTATGACAACTCATGAACAAGAAAAACTTACTTTCATGTTGTGGGCTTTACTGAAGGTTGAAATAGTTCCAGTTTTGACAATATAGGAATCAACACCAACTAATCCACAGATATTACCACAGGGTACATCTTCAATAGCTTCTACATATCTTCCCATCATCAAAACAGTTCTGAATAAAAGAGAAGATGGTTGATGAAGCCATCAAGTAAGAGACTGACTCTTTTTAGTGAGGCATTTGAACAGACAGATAATGCTGCTGACAATATACCACAACATAAAGATGTGGGTGGCATAAGAATCTCTTGTATTCAGCTTGAGAAAAGAAGCACACAGTGTTCAATGCGGGAAATTTCTGGCCTGGCAGATCAATCTCCCTACATAAATGAGAGAAGCTATATTTACCGTTGGATGCTCTTTTCATAACAATCAGTCTTTGAGCTCTTTTCAGGGTCATAATTTGGGCCCATGATCTTTACTTTCTGTCCAGTACTGACAGTTCCTCCAAAAACTCTACCAAAGGCATAAAATCTTCCTTTGTCATTTGTGGGTACCATTTTAGATATGTACATAAGCAATTCTCCTTCAGGGTCGCAATTTTTCATTGCTGAAATAATAGATAATTAACCATCTTACTACCCTCAAATATTCATTTTGGTTATACCAAACAAACGGTGGTCTATGTGTGAAAGTAATATTTAAAATCATGTCCCTTGTTCACAGTATAATTTGGGAGTATAAAACAAACTTACACATAGCAGCATCATCATCAATAGGACCTTCATACAACATCTCACATCTGTATTTTTGAGCAGTGACTGGTGATGGAAGATGAATTACAATCATCTGTAACATAGCATCTCCAGCTGGTAACCATTTCCTCATAATAGTCTACAAACAAAATTTGAAGATCGGCATTTAAATTTTTTTTCATTTCAATCAAAATTCAAAATTGTACATCTAGAAATATACCACATCACTTCCTATGTAACCTCTGTGATGCCAAATCAATAAAACTTGGTTAATAAGAGTGCTATCAGGTGTATCTTACCTTCAACAGAGGTTTTTCCACTAGCTGTTTATCATCTGCTGTTAATTTAATATTGAGTTTTTCAACCAAAGCTAAAGCATCTTCATTAGTAGCCTTCTTCATACAGGCATCAAAGATCTAAAAAATTTAAGGATTTTATATTAGAAGATACAAAACTTGAGCTTTATGAAATCTGTTGACATGAAATGACTTGACTTTTTTATTTCAGATTGTAAGTAAGCTTACTTTTCCTTTGATAGTACAAAAAAAGCAACAAGTACTTGCCTAGCAAGATACGCCCACTTCCCTGATAAATTTTCAGTATACCAATGGCAGTCGGAAATCTGTCATATCGTAACAAAAATTTAATTTTTGCACAAGATGTTGATTTAATCAAACACACAAAATTTGGACATAACCTGCCACCAAATTTTTTTTAAGTCAAGAATAAATCAAATTTCATTCATTGTTAAATTGTCAAATTCCAACTTTACCAAGATCTCCTGATAAATGATCACACCGAATTTCATAAAAATCAGATAAAAACTAAAACCTTTATTGTGTTCACAAGCCAATTAAGGATGGATGGACTGACAATATACGACCCCATCATAATATTATTTGGGATATTTGAAACCCCTGTAAGAATATTACCTGATAAATGGGGTTCAAGACGAAAAATATGAATCCTCGGACATTGTCTTCAGCTTCTTCTTTATCCCACTTTTTAGTTTTGTTATTGTAAAATTGATTTCCCCACATTTTCTTTATCAACTTAGCAGGTTCAATTTTCAATTTTGCAGCATATATCTTTGCAAAATCCTTCAAAGTGAAGGCCCAACCATGGAGACCAGATCCAAAGCCAACAGTTCCATTTCTAGGATCAACCTGAAAAAAAAAAAATCCCAGCATAAAATAAGGTTTAACATGAAAGTATATTTACCTTTGTAGTTGGTGAGAAGACAAATCACATACCTAAACGTTAGTACTTCATAAATACAGTCTACACTGCTAATCCGACATAAACAGGCGGTGATTAATCAGCAATCTTTTGTTTTCATGTGATTTGTTCCGAATTATCAATTAAATAAACGATTATCTAATTGGTGATAAGTGATCAAGATGAGTAGATGTTGGATTATACACATTTTTCTGAGTGTTGGGACCACTGATTAGTGTCGTAATTTGGAATACACAGAGTGTCGAAGTACTCGGGAGTTTTTTTTAAACTAGCCTAAGAAGGAATCTATCGGGACCAGAAAATAATGTCAGAATACTCAAATGTCAGCTATCACAGAGTACACTGTGTAACATAAATAAATAGTAAAAGCACTTATTTGTTAACACTAATCGTATACATGAACTGTTAAAATTTAAGTGTCTGCAGAAAGACACACTTCCTATTCCAATAACAGAAACTGGAGAATTTTTAAAAAGCTTACCTCAATATCACCCATTGGACCATCAGATTCACCATAAGTATTAACAATAACATTGACATCTTCAATAATCTTTTGAAAAGTGTGATACAAAGTGTCTTTGTCCAATTGTAAGGTAAGAAGAGCCAAGTCCATTTTGTTCATAAGAACAACAGGCTTTATTCTTTCAGCAATAGCTTGTCTTAAAACAGTTTCAGTCTGTACACAGACACCTAAAATACACCAATTTCACTATACAAATGACAATCAAATTAAGACTTTGAAGCGACATTAACTTCAGCAACATCAAGTAAATTTTTTTTAATAATGCATCTGCATTTATATCTTTTACAGCTTCTTTTGTTTGAGCCATGCAAATTGGTAAATGTAGTTACATATCACTAATTCAGTGTTTACTGAAGTCACCATTTCAAAATCAATAAAATACATCTTAATTCAACAAAAGCAGTTATTTGCCATAATGGACGGCATGGATAAATCAGAGAAAGCTTACATACCTGACACACAGTCAACAACCACCAAAGCTCCATCAGTAACACGAAGAGCAGCAGTTACTTCAGATGAGAAGTCAACGTGACCAGGGGAATCAATCAAATTGATCAAGAAACCACAGTCTTTATGATGATCTTGTTTAATGTATTGTTTATCATCTTCATTTAAATTGTAGAAAAGGGAAATGGCACTACAAAAAAATACAAACTGTTCCAGTCAGAAAAGCAATCTATTGACTGGCTACATTGAGCTTTGAATTTAATCTTTTGTCATTTCATAAATATTCAAAATTTCAAAATAACCTTTTGAACTTTCTCTTAGAATGTCTTCGGGTCCATGGAATAAGGTTTGGTGATTTTATATAGTCACACTTTCCTCCCAGAAAATTCATGTAAATATAACCTACTTTTCGGATTGCAAATTTCTCTCTATAAAATCATGTATAAACTTACAAATATTAACTTTGCAAACAGTTAAAATTTTCATCAACCCAAAGATAATAAAGGACTTTCAGTAGTATTTTGTAAATGAAATTTCAATTCATATGAAAATTATTGCCAAATTTCAATCCAGAAAACAGTATAGTCAGAGATTAAGGTTTATTAATCAAGTGATCTGACCAATTCTTTTTTTTTCTCGAAATATTCATAACATTATACTTACGTTGATTTAATGGTAATACAACGTTCCTGTTCATCTTTCCTGGTATCTGTAAATCTCGTTTCTCCAGCTTTCGATCCTGCTATAATACCAGCTTTACTTACTAATGAATCAGTCAATGTTGATTTACCATGATCCACATGAGCGATCACGGACATGTTTCTGATGTTCAACTTTTTGTCCATGATCTCTCGGATCTCGTCCACCGTAAAGTTCACCTGAAATTAAATGGTACACATCATAATTAAGAACTTATAGGTCATACTGATTGTTTAGTACATGACAATCCAACTTACTACCGACTGAACTAGGGAAGACTTCAACAGTCTGACATTTTTGTACTCGATACCATTTCCTAAGAGAATTACCAGTTATCTTTTCAAGTATAGGCTATCATTGAACAAACTTTAAATTAGATAGGTTTTCTTTTCCAATCAACTAACCCATTGTTCATCCAGGATAAAATTAATGTCAGTAAGAAAGGACTATTTCAGTTAGCTCAGTAACAAAACAACATTTTTAGAAACATATGTAAGAAGTCTGAAATTTTGATGAACCAGATCTACTATTACTACCAAAATAACACTAATGAAGTTCATGTAAAATGGTGACATTTAAACAAAATATGGAGACAATAAACATCGAAAACAATCTATATAATATCATCGAAATTGCACCATATTGCGTTCTTATAAATAATGACGTCAGCAATTGACACGGCCATGTTGTTGGGAATATCAATCGTGGCATATATTTCACTAGAAACATATTATGAACTACATTCAAATTTTCATGGATCAAAAATTATAAAATCAGCTAGACAATTGGTTTATTGACAAAACTATCTTGTTAAATCATGTTGATGCCACTCACCATTTTGGATTTATGGTTGATTGGCAACTCCTAAATTTCTTCTATGTTGCCGTGTCGATGGACCCGTTAGAAAAGGTAGATTATATGACTTATCACGTGGACGGAAACTTGCAACCTACTCTGATTTTCGTATCTAAATAAGATCAATTTAAAAATTTAATTCTCATGTAGTCTATTGAATATATTTTACAAAATCGTTTATTTCGCTGATTTCTTCCTTTTCTGACTTATCTTTAGTTTTGTAAAAAGTTCCAAACTAAACGGAAACAGTGAATCTGAGACTAGCTCTGTTTATTGAATATTAACATGTCTGTCATGATCGAGGACGAATAAAAGAAAAAGTCGCAGAACATATGCCAGTTTATAGAAAAAATACTCTTTATCGTGAAAGAAATGATACATTCATGAAAACTGAATATTGAGAAATCAGGAAAAATATTCGGGTGAGGTAATTTTCCATTTTTGAGCCATTGAATTGGAGACATAATCGATCGATAACTCTTGAAAATCGTTTTTGCTTTATATTCTGATTCAGTGATTCTGCTTCTTATTCATGCACAATAGTGGGTAGGCTTCACAGGAATACTACAACTGAGCGTTTAATTGATGAATGTAAGATTTTTGTGTATCAGAAAGCTTATTGCTAATTTAAGCTGATTTCATAGTTGACTGAAGGCAGGATTTTGACTCAAGGCAGACCAACTTTACTTTGACCAGGATTATGAAGGCAGGATATGCCTCTTGGCCACTTTACCTGTGCCTGTGGTATGATTGTTCTATGGTGCCGTTTATCACATTCACCACACAATTTTTTTTGTCCAAATACATGATATCAGAATAGACTACTCTCTTTCTATAAGTATAATGTTACAGAATCAAATTTTTGAAGAGAGTTTCTTAGGTTGTTTTAGGGTGATGTAAATGCTGACCAGTGGCAGTGGAAAGTTATTATTTGTAAATATGATTTAACAGTGGTGAATTTTCAGTTCAGAAAGAGGGTCATTTTGACTTGCATTTCCTGGGAGGGACGTGTGGTTATTTCGAATGTAAGATCACTTTCTAAACCCTAAGAATTCCCAAGACAAATTCATGGCATTCAGTTGAAAATTTGCTTATGAATATTTGTGAATTGAAAGAAAAAAAAAATCATTGTAGGAAGACAGCCATATGTTAGAAAAATCACAGTTTGCTTTCACAATGCCAAAATATATTGTAATTTATTGATATTTCACATTATATTATGATATTACATATGATTACTTACTCTGATTAACAATTATAAAATCATGGACCATGACTTCTTAATACAGACTTATGAAAACATGACAAATTTGATAATTGATCTAAGATCAACAGCTTCTTAATTAATGCCTATAACCACTAATGTCCACTACAGTCTACAATGAACAAAGTCATGCACCAGTGATTTTCAGTGCTACTTTACCTCTAATTGAACAACTCCACTATATTTTATATCAGTATAAAGACTGTGACAGAATAAAACTTTTTATTTCAACTTGCTTTTTAAAGTTTTTAACCAGAAAATAACTGTGAAAATAGAAAAAAAAAGGTTTGATCACTCAACCTTGTTGATTTAAACTGTCATCACACGTCATTGACATTTCTTGCTTGAAGTTATTATCCAACGACATCGTTAGTAACATCCAATATTACATCCCAAGGGGATTGTCTCTTTTGCTAATTTCAAATTGTCTACAGTGTAAAGTGTACAGAACCTGGATTTACGAACATTTAATTATTAAACCCACATTTATTCAAATTGAAGAACTTAAATTTATAAATCCTGTGCCTGTGCATTTGTAACTTTGTCATTAGTACAACTTACAAGCTTACTCCCAATATCATGTTAGTTGGCGTGGTAGATTTCTTTGAAAGCTAGTTTTTATAGTTTTATGTGGCCTGTATTTATTTAAAGCAACAGAAGCCAGCAAAATATTGAAATGTTTTTTTTATGTTTTCAGAGAAAGAATTATATCGAGAGTGACAAGCTCTTGAGATTTGTAAATGATAAAAGATAAGATGTCAGTCCAAGAACCTGATCATCAAAGTATTAATACAACATCAGTGGAAAACGGGAACAACAAAAAGAAAGAGTTCGAAGGAGCTTGTGGAGGTAAAAATCCTAAGCCCCAAATAGATCAATTAACAGATTCTATGGTAGATGATGGTACTGATAATATCAGTATGGAAGTACATCTTGGTGAAGATTCCTCACGACATCCAAGTGAAATCAGTTCCATATCTTATCAAAATTTGTTAGAAGATGGTGAAAATGCCAGTCAAGTTGTGTCACGTCGTGATAGTGAGGACAGTATTGACTCTTACCCTCCTGATGACGGTGACAATTACTTCCCAGCAGATGATGTAGAAAGATTTGAGGCATCTGACTTACCTATTTCAGAACGTTATAAGAAGCCTCCTGAACCTAAGTCTTTAGGAACTGTTAATACAGATGTAGAAATCAATATTGAAAATGTATCTGAAGCTGCTATAAAAAGCAAATCAGATCAAAATGATGACACCAAAGAACTTTCATCAGCTAGCAAACACCAATCTTCCATTCCAAGCTTTGAATTATCTAGTGTTCCAACTGATACACCAACGCCAGATGAAGGAGTCATCTTGCGTAAAAAGATTACTTCAGAACATGCGTCTGTCAAGGATCCCAGTGATCCCAGGGAAATGATTAAGAAAAGGAACAGTTTAGAAATTAGGAATAATATTCCTACTGTAGGTGAAGTTAAAAGTTATGATAAAGATTTAGAAGATCTGACCTATAGTTCTCAAGGTGCCAAACCTAAAATTCGAAAACAGTCACCAGGACTGGCTAGAAGGGTGTGTGAGACTCCAGAGAGAGAAGGATCAAGTTCCGAGAGGGAAATGGAGCAGACTCAAATAAAAGATGCACAAGATTCAGAAGAACAGCAAGAAGCTCCAGGCATGCAAATTGAATGCAGACGTGTTGAAAATGGAATATCTCAATTGTTAAGTCAACAGCGTAGACCAATGGACATCGAAAACGAATATGATTATGTGAAGTATGCACGAGTTCAACAAGGTAATTCTTATGTAGGAATGAGACTAGCTTATTCTAGTTCTAATGATTCGCTAAATATTAAACGGAATAGTATGAACAGTCAAGAAACTGCTTCTTTAGAAAGTTCTCGTGAAACATCCCCCGAGAAAATTCTTCAAAAGAAAATCTTACAAGACCTAGATAATAAGGCGTTTCAGGGTCAAGTGAATGAGGACTCTTTAATAGAAATACCATTAAATGGTCTAGACAGTAATATGAGTGAGGACAAGAAAAGTTTTACTTTGTCCCCTGAAAATACTGAATGTGATAGTGTTGAGGTGGAAAGTGTAATGTCTGATGGAGAGAGAGGCATGCCTACTGTAGAAGATGGTCTATCTAGTAGTCAAGCCAGTGATTATGAAGACAATGGTGAAAGGTCAGCAATGAAACAGAAAAATAAGTCAGAAAATTCTCACCAGGTAACTATAACTACTTTTAATTGAATTTGTTGAAAGCCCACAGCTCTACATACAACTGTTGCTTGCTTATGTTTGTATCACATAAGGCTCTTTGAGATTAGTGACGTCATCAAACACTTCATTTTAAGGGAATTGCAGGAAATAAAGACGTCTGATTTTAAATTGGAATGATGTATATTGATGCTATCAATGTCCCAGATACACATGAACAATTTGGAAAAGCCCTTTCTTTAAGTTTTAATTGATAAAAAAGGTGTAATATTGACTTATAACAATAAAATTGTGTGCCCCTTCACATTCATCTTAATAAGATTATTTTGATTTTCAATTTGAAAATTATTTACAGGGTGAAAAACCCAAAAAAATTGATGCTCAAGCTATTATGACAGATTTAAAAGCTAAAAGAGAAGCTTTAGATAGTGCTATTGCTGATATTAAGTGTGCTATTCAACAAAGTAAAGGTGTGGCATTGCAGTCTTCAAAATATTCAACAGAACCTCAACCAGAAGAACCTATTTGGGTTATGAGGTAAGTTTGTCATAAAGCCAAATTTCTTATGAGCACAGCATTATATTGCAAACACCACCATAAATAAATAATAAAAAAGTTAAGTTTCCAATGAATTCTCCATGACACTGTATTACATGTATTTAATCACATATGGTATGGCATAATTATAGACATAATTGATGAAATATTGATAATGAAAAAATATTGAACACAAATTACCAATCTGCGACACTACCTGCCAAAAAATAAGATATTATAGCACATGTAAAAAATACCACTACATTTGCAGACATTAAAGTAAGAATGATTTAGTAGTCTGAGTCCTATTTGTCATCGAAGGACATAAACAACTACCGATTTTTTTGTTAAGAGTTCCTTCCCTTGAATAGTCATTGGATTTCAACAGTGATGAAACACTGTGCCTTAAAATTTAAATGTCTTACTGTAACATCACAAGAACATATCAGTTTTCCCTATCTTTTGGTAACGATATCCACCATTTTTTTCATGTAGGTTCATAATAATGAATTAAAGATAGATACAGTGAAAACAAAACAATATCAATTGTATGCACATTTTCATATCAAGTGTCTATTAAAAAAAACCACATTGGCTTTGTAGCTATTAAGAGTTACTTCCCCTTAATTATAGTTTGATTTCAAGTTGTTCATTTTCTTCACCGACCATTTCTAATTCTAGATTTGATCATATAAATTTAAAGTAGTAAGCTTTGAAAAATCTGTAATTTTTAACAATTTTTTATGATCAATCGATGGGGGTTTTGTAGTAGCACAATTAGGTGGAGCATCGATTCTTTACATGATGTCATTTACTTGGTTATGTCTAACAAATAGCAGTTGTGGGTTCTAATCTCAGCCGGTGTGTGAAGTCTGATCACCTTGTTCAAGTCATCTCTCATAATTCCAGTCGATACAGGGTAGGCCTACGGATAATACAGGAAAGATCAAATCAATGGTTTAGCCAAGGACCAACTCGTAGAAAGGATCCTTACATGTGAACCCAAGTTGTTATCCTTGAAAATGTTGTGGTTTCTCTCTTTCTTTTCTACTGTTATGCACATTTCCTTTTATGGATTTTCAATATTCAGCCAATCAACTGCTCTAAGATTACTTAACATTTTGTGAGTAATTCTAGGACATTCATGTTTTTTTTAAACAGTGTTTTTGATTGGTTAGTTTTAATTGTAAACTATGGATGCCAAAGAAACTCATCAGATCATGGATGACAAGTGAAGTAACCATCTGTATAATTAGAAAGCGAAACATCAAGATCTGCATTTTAATAACATATATATTTAAAGAGACACATTTGCCATCTGTTTGACCAATCATACCTTACTCTCATATTTATAGAGTAAGCTATCAGTAAATAGTGTTCACAGCTCACCGTCAAAATTTTAGCCTTCAAATCCATATGTGTCCAGAATTATCTGATTTTGAAAGTTAAAAAGACAAATGCTTCTGTAGACTATTCACCTTATATTCATGACCCCAATCAACCCCCGGTAATGGTGAATCGTGGCCTTTAAATTTGACATCATATTTATTCTGAAATTATAATCTGATATTGATGAGCTACTGAGTAAAAAATGACATGACAATATCAATATCAGTATACTGTATGCCATTATCATTAAGTAGGAATTTCCAGGTAATGAACCTACAGTTTCTCTCTTTATATAGCTTCATCATAATTATCTCTTCTCGGTAAAAATCTATAAAGATAGGTAGAATTATTAGACTAACTGGCCGCATTGTAGCTTGTATTAATTATACTTATTGATTTATTAATTCTAAGTAGGCTTGTCAGCTTGTATTATAATCTATATTTTGTCACATCTACAGTTGACAACATCTGGTGTATGTGGTTATTCTCAATATTCAATTAACCTACGTCCGTATCATATAAATTTCATATTACATGTGTTTTGAATTGGATAATGTGAATTATTTGTATGCTGTAAAGGTAATATTGAACATTTTCAAAAACAGGTCATTCTTTTAACAGTATTTCATGTGGGTCATTTAGATATTTCTACATGTTTGGCGCATCGCTCGTATAATGTAATATTTTTTAGGAAATGATAATCAGTTTTTAAAAGTTTTTGCCTAATGATCTTTAGTTTTTAAAAGTCTTCTGATAATGTGATTTACGAAATTGTCTTTAGTTTTCTAATATTGTTATAATGTGATGTGTTTTTACAAAATGTTTTTATTGGTTTTCCAGTACAATGTATTTTTATAATGTGATTTACAAAATGGTCTTTAGTTTTCATTATGATGTGATTTTGTTTTTTTACGAAATTGTCTTTAGTTTTCTAATATTGTTATAATAATATTGTGATGATTTTTTACAAAATGTTTTTATTGGTTTTTTTAGTACATGTATTTTTATTATGTGATTTACAAAATGATCTTCAGTTTTCATAATGATGTGATTTTTTTTTATCAAAATGTTTTTATTGGTTTTTTTAGTACATGTATTTTTATTATGTGATTTACAAAATGATCTTCAGTTTTCATAATGATGTGATTTTTTTTTATCAAAATGTTTTTATTGGTTTTCTAGTATTTTTATAAAAGTGGTCTTTAGTTTTCATTATGACGTGATTTTTTTTTATGAAATCGTATTTAGTTTTTTAATGCCCCTGAAATAATGTGGTCTTTAGTTTAGTTTTTTAATGCCCCTGAAATAATGTGGTCTTTAGTTTAGTTTTTTAATGCCCCTGAAATAATGTGGTCTTTAGTTTAGTTTTTTAATGCCCCTGAAATAATGTGGTCTTTAGTTTAGTTTTTTAATGCCCCTGAAATAATGTGGTTTTTACGAAATACTGATTTCCCCCCCAAAAAAATTACTATAAATCTCAGTTTGAGCTCTGCCTTTGACTTTTTGATAAACAAAAACAAATTATTTTCACTGTAAAAGAAACAGAAAAAAGTGGCAATTGTAGAGCGATATAGAACTATTAAAACAGAACTTGAAACATGTTGTTACTCAAAGTTTCACGCTGTGTGTTATTGATTTCACGTTTTCAGTTTCACGCTGTGCATTCTTTTGGTTGATATTTTTTCATAGTTAACTTCTTCTTTCTTATAATTGGTTAGTTAATTTAACGAAAAACAAAAAAAATGACTGTATTTTAAAAGAAATGGAAACGGAATAAGAAATTTTTAAGGATATTGTTACTTTATAAAAAGTAGTGATAGTTAGATATAAAATGATTTGAGAGAAAAGACACGTAATTGAAGATAATTGTAGGCTATCTATCATGTTGAATTCCCTGATATTTAAAAATCAATGGTTCATAGAATCTCTTTTATATTCACACATGATAGGCTGGAATTAACTCTCAGTTTTAACTTGACCAAACCATTCTATGTTACATTGCTTGTATTGACTATATAATATCTTTTACATTGCTTTATGATACAAGACTTGAACTCAGAGTGTATATAGAAAGCAAACTGACTCAATGGCAGGGATAAATGTTAAGGTTTAGTTTGAATGCCTTCCCCCCTCCCCTCCTCCTTTCCCAGTCTATTCCGTACCCTTACCCTACTGTCAATACTTCCGAAAGGCAGTGGTTACCAACCTTTTTCAGCCTTAAAACCCCTGGATTTTTCACACCCCAAAAATTTGTTCCATCCACATTTCCAGCATGTGATAATGATGATGCTCTCATTTCCAAATAAATTCTTCTCCTACACCAGTTAGCCACACCTCTGACACCCTAGTCCCACATCCCAGGGGGGTGAAAACACCCCAGGTTGGGAATCGGGGAGATATAGGGAACTGGAAATTTAAAGTTTGAATTTAAAATGACTGTTCAGGAAAGATACCTAATGAAGTTTGATTGATATATTATGTCTTTTCTATATATCACAGAGTATCTTAAAATGACGTCATTTGAAGGCTCAAATATTGACAGTGAGCTGTGAACACTATTACTGATTGGTCAATAAAATTGGCACACTTGGTCCCTTGAAAGCTGGGTGATGCCCTGAACCCAAGGGGTGACTTGTTTTTACACAGACTTGGCTAGCTTATTGACATGGTCCTTTTGCTTGAAAATTGGTGCTTCCTGCGAGTGCAGTAAACGTTCAGAAGATAATGAGTATCTCATTCCTCTGATCTAATGAATATGACATTTTGACAACTGTTGACATTTTAGCTGGTATAATATCATTTAATTGTTTACAAAAGGATGGTAGATTATATATTCTGAAGAATTCTAAATAAGCATTATCAGTAATTAAAAGAGATATGTTAACAATTGCTCTTTAATTGATAGCATTGTCAAACATAATTGCAGGTTTTGTATGTTAAATTAAGCAGAGATTTGTTCAAATACTAGAACTCTTGTAAGTTTAAATTACCACATAAACTGAACAGCATGATGCCTGTGTTGCTTTGACAATATGATTTTATAGCACATAATCATAATGGAATACATAATTGAATTTCTGGCTACAGTAATTTCATTTGAAGGAGAAAAGCTTTTACAGTTTGTGTATTAAATAGAAATATTGCATGTACACCTACTATTATAAAAATAGGGTGGAACTGACAAAAAAAAAAACAGGATTTAATACACAAAGAACTCCCCCTCCCCCACTTTGTTCAAATAATTTTTTTTATTAGTCGTGAATAGACTCAGACAGATTTGAATTAAAAAAAATGTTGGGAAAAAAATTCAATTGTGGTTGTTGCATGTTTCATAGCATTATAGTTTCATTAGTTTATCAGGTTTAAGAGAAGTAAAACATTAAAATTCTCTCAGGTGAGATGATACCATTTTTTTTTTTTAACTTTTGACAATTGGGTATACTTATTTTGCTTGATTATTGGTAATAGTTGATTTGTAATATTTTGGGAAATTGGATTTTTAATAAGCATCGTCAATTTGAAATGAAATATACATATTGAATATTTAAAGGTTATTAGATACTGTACTGATATTTCATTGTAAAAAAATAGAATATACTTTTCCAAAAGCAATAT